CACACAGAGTCTACGTTTTTTTTGTCTTTTTATTCTGTGCTGAGGAGGAGCATCACCTCCTCTTTCTGTTTCTTCTTCTTACCCCTCCTCCTCCTCCTCCTCCTCCTCTTGATGGCAGCATGTGTGTGTGTGCTCCTTCTCTTTGTTCATGTGACTTTAATTTAAACTTTAATTGTTTATTTGTTGTTTATTGTTTCGTCGCCTCGTTGTTTTGATGTTGTTTTGAATCTGTTTATTTGTTTGGAAGGGTGCAGGCCCCGGCAGCTCTGCAGCATCAACCAAATTCATCTCTGCCTTTATTTTGAAATCCTGACTCACTGCGTTCCCTGAACATGTAAATGTAGGGGAGAGCGGTGGGAACAGTGTTTGTCTCAGCAGCTGACTGATTGTTGGAGCTCTAACGTTAGAAATGTTTCCAACAGAATTAATGAAGTGAAGTGGACGATCCATCGTTACCATCGGCACCAACGATGAACAAACACAAAATAAACAAACCACATCAACAGAAGGAACCGTCAACGTTCCCAAATATGGGACAAAGATTACTTCCGTCTTTGTTGTGAACATTCACAGTGTCTGTGTCCCCATTAAACTGCTGTCATGTCTTTATCACGTCACACATTAACGACACGCTTTGTTTTCATTCAGACGCCGCACTTTTTCCTCTCCACAGGAAGAGACTGAGCTTTTTCTTTTTTTTACCACAGTGAGGATAAAACACGTTATTACAGCGCTCCATCTTTAGTCAGTTGTACGTGTGCACGTCATCAAATAATGTGTCACACTAGAACTTCCCTCTGGACGCTCACACACAGAGGATCAGACCAAATGTCTCCCCTTCTGTCTCTGAGATATGATATTAAAACATGATGATCACACAGTCAAGATGACCTTTGACCTTTTCGACATACACCAGTTTTGAGTGGACGTCACAGCAGTTTCATGCTTCGTGTTCTGGTGGCAGAGAAACATACCTGGAATAAAAATGTCTTGTTGTGTGGTTGGATGTCAGAACAGGAGCACAGGATGAGTCTCGTTCAGAGGACGCCGAAGCAGAAGATAAAGTTTAGTCTCCAGTTAATTCTAATGTGGCTGTAATGGCTGCTGGACGCTCAGCAGAGGAGTGTGTGTTTGAGTTACATGAAAGATAATTCATCATCATAGGAACTGTACAAACTCATCTGTCAAACATGGACTTGTCTTATTGTCCCTGGTTCAAACTCGTGGAGACGTCCACACAGAATATCATTTCATGTGGAAGCAACATCAGACACCTTTGTAGCTAGCTAGCTAACGCTGCCTGTTCATGACCTCCTGGATCAGAACAGAATATAGAAACTTTGACCGCTGCTCATTTTAGAAAGGACGCCACAAGAAAACATGTTCTTTGTTTAGATTATTAAACAGATGATGGATCATCGTTTGTTTCTACCTGTCAGCGTTCAGCTACATGTAGCACACCAGCTACGTTAGCTACATCGCTAGTGTTAGCAAGACTTTTATTTTCCTTGCCTGAATGCAGATGATCTAAACTCACATTATAGTCTCTACGTTAACATAAACTGAGAACAGGTTTTCTCGTGGTGTCCTTAATAAAGTGAGCAGTGGTGACAGCTAATATACTTTGTTATGATCCAGGTGTTAATCAGCACACAGCGTTAGCTAGCTAGCGCACTAGCACATTGATGGGGTTAGCCCAATGTCGCCACAGTTCTAGGACATTTTCAAAATTAGGTCTTGTGTTCCTACATTTCCCTTCAATTTAAGCCCTACCCTCCCACAAGAGTTTTTGGAAGCACTTTATAGTAAATGAATGAATGAGTCGTTTTATTTCGATCATCAGCAGAAATCGTCACAATCATTACAAGAAAAAATAAAATAGGCTGATCGAAAAGGGTTTCGGCTGAAGCAGAGCTTATAGATACCGAACCCTTGTTTTCATTTCCTTAAGTCAGACAAACAAAACCAGATAAGTACAAATACGCATACGGTATATACATGTAATACAATCACATGCTATTTACATATACATACCTACACACACATGCATATATACCTGAATACATACATTATGTATGTACATATTTATGTACCCACGAACATAAATATGTACATACATAATGTATCTTCAGTACAGGCCAAAAGTTTGGACACACCTTCTCATTCAATGCGTTTTCTTTATTTTCATGACTATTTACATTGTAGATTCTCACTGAAGGCATCAAAACTATGAATGAACACATGTGGAGTTATGTACTTAACAAAAAAAGGTGAAATAACTGAAAACATGTTTTATATTCTAGTTTCTTCAAAATAGCCACCCTTTGCTCTGATTACTGCTTTGCACACTCTTGGCATTCTCTCCATGAGCTTCAAGAGGTAGTCACCTGAAATGGTTTCCACTTCACAGGTGTGCCTTATCAGGGTTAATTAGTGGAATTTCTTGCTTTATCAATGGGGTTGGGACCATCAGTTGTGTTGTGCAGAAGTCAGGTTAATACACAGCCGACAGCCCTATTGGACAACTGTTAAAATTCATATTATGGCAAGAACCAATCAGCTAACTAAAGAAAAACGAGTGGCCATCATTACTTTAAGAAATGAAGGTCAGTCAGTCCGGAAAATTGCAAAAACTTTAAATGTGTCCCCAAGTGGAGTCGCAAAAACCATCAAGCGCTACAACGAAACTGGCACACATGAGGACCGACCCAGGAAAGGAAGACCAAGAGTCACCTCTGCTTCTGAGGATAAGTTCATCCGAGTCACCAGCCTCAGAAATCGCAAGTTAACAGCAGCTCAGATCAGAGACCAGATGAATGCCACACAGAGTTCTAGCAGCAGACCCATCTCTAGAACAACTGTTAAGAGGAGACTGCGCCAATCAGGCCTTCATGGTCAAATAGCTGCTAGGAAACCACTGCTAAGGAGAGGCAACAAGCAGAAGAGATTTGTTTGGGCCAAGAAACACAAGGAATGGACATTAGACCAGTGGAAATCTGTGCTTTGGTCTGATGAGTCCAAATTTGAGATCTTTGGTTCCAACCGCCGTGTCTTTGTGAGACGCAGAAAAGGTGAACGGATGGATTCCACATGCCTGGTTCCCACTGTGAAGCATGGAGGAGGAGGTGTGATGGTGTGGGGGTGTTTTGCTGGTGACACTGTTGGGGATTTATTCAAAATTGAAGGCACACTGAACCAGCATGGCTACCACAGCATCCTGCAGCGACATGCCATCCCATCCGGTTTGCGTTTAGTTGGACGATCATTTATTTTTCAACAGGACAATGACCCCAAACACACCTCCAGGCTGTGTAAGGGCTATTTGACCAAGAAGGAGAGTGATGGAGTGCTGCGGCAGATGACCTGGCCTCCACAGTCACCGGACCTGAACCCAATCGAGATGGTTTGGGGTGAGCTGGACCGCAGAGTGAAGGCAAAGGGGCCAACAAGTGCTAAACACCTCTGGGAACTCCTTCAAGACTGTTGGAAAACCATTTCAGGTGACTACCTCTTGAAGCTCATGGAGAGAATGCCAAGAGTGTGCAAAGCAGTAATCAGAGCAAAGGGTGGCTATTTTGAAGAAACTAGAATATAAAACATGTTTTCAGTTATTTCACCTTTTTTTGTTAAGTACATAACTCCACATGTGTTCATTCATAGTTTTGATGCCTTCAGTGAGAATCTACAATGTAAATAGTCATGAAAATAAAGAAAACGCATTGAATGAGAAGGTGTGTCCAAACTTTTGGCCTGTACTGTATGTAACTTATGTGTCTACACACAAATATAAAACAAAACAGAAAAAAAGAAATCTTGTAATATTCTATATTTTTCAAATGTTATTTTTAAATTTTGTTTTTAAATGGACAACACTTTTACTCTCTTTAATATCCACTGGCAAACTATTCCACAGTTTCACCCCATACACTGATATGCACATATTTTTCAATGTGGTACGAAAACTTGGTTGTTTTAAGTTTCTTCTCCCTCTTAGGTTGTACCCTCCATCCATCCATCCATCCATCTTCTAACCGCTTCATCCTCTTGGGGGTCGCGGGGGGTCACGGGGGGTGGAGCCTATCCCAGCTGACACTGGGTGAGAGGCAGGGTTCACCCTCTCCCTCTCTCTCTCTGTCTCATTGTGTCATATGGATTACTGTTAATTTATTATGCTGATCTGTTCTGTACGACATCTATTGCACGTCTGTCCGTCCTGGAAGAGGGATCCCTCCTCAGTTGCTCTTCCTGAGGTTTCTACTGTTTTTTTCCCCGTTAAAGGGTTTTTTTGGGGAGTTTTTCCTGATCAGCTGTGAGGGTCTTAAGGACAGAGGGATGTCGTATGCTGTAAAGCCCTGTGAGGCAAATTGTGATTTGTGATATTGGGCTTTATAAATAAAATTGATTGATTGATGGACAGGTCGCCAGACTATCACAGGACTGACACATAGAGACAGACAACCATTCACACTCACATTCACACCTACGGACAATTTAGTCACCAATTGACACGTAGATCATGAAACGACTCATCATTTAAGAAATATAAACTTACAGTGCTTTTTACATTTTATTTGGCGCTCACACCGACACCACTACTGACACTTTTTGCCACCAGTTCAGCTCCGCCCACAAAATACATCATCACTGTTTCCAACCACAAAAAGGATTTATAAAATGTTACGCTTCATGATTTTATTCTGTTAGACATTTGTGTGAAGTTTTGTCATAATTAGTGTATGAATTCTGAAGTTATGGACAAAAACATGTTTAGTGAGGTCACACTGACATTTGACCACTAAAGTGTAATGAATGTGACATATGTTTGTACATACAAACCTGAAAACATTCTGTCTCCACCTGCGGCCATAATAAATGTAAACATGTTGCATGTGAAATTAATGCACGGGAGTCTCACCGCCAACACGTTTCAGTTTTATTGTAAAATAAGTCATTGTACACACACACACACACACACACACAGATAGATCCTTTCAGTTTCTGCAAATGTTTTTATTTCATGACAAAGTTTGACGAACAGAGAAAAAAAAAATCCAACAAGATTTTCTTTCTTTCTTTTTTTTTGGAGCCAAAATCTGCAGAATACATCACCTTTCTTTAGTTTCACTGTAACAGCAGCAGCATGTCGCAGGTCTGGTCTCTGCGTTTCATATTTATTTTTATTACAGAAAATCAAACAGGAAAAAAAAACATAATTTAATGAATGAAAATTTTAAACAATTTAATTTTAAAGGAAAAGTGCAGCATATTGGGAAATCTTCTCGTTAGTCTTCACATTCAGATGACCAGATGCATTTCAGAGCATACAGGACACGATTAGCCTAGCTTAGTTCAAACACTGGACGCAGGAGGAAACTGTTAGCCTAGCTCTTAGCTCAGACACAGGATGCAGGGGGAAATATTAGCCTAGCTCTTAGCTCAAACACTTGACACAACGGAGAACTGTTAGCCTAGCTCTTAGCTCAAACACTTGACACAAGGGGGAACTGTTAGCCTAGTTCTTAGCTTAAACACTGGAGGCAGGGAAACTGTTAACCTAGCTCTTAGCTCAGTCGCTGGAAGGAGGGGGAAATTGTTAGCCTAGCTCTTACCTCAAACACTGGACGAAAGGGGGAACTGTTAGCCTAGCTCTTAGCTCAAACACTTGACACAAGGGGGAACTGTTAGCCTAGCTCTTAGCTCAAACATTGGACACAGGGGGGAACTGTTAGCCTAGCTCTTAGCTCAAACACTGGACACGGGGAACTGTTAGCCTAGCTCCATCTGAGGAAATTTATTTTGTATGAAGAGAGATGAAACTGATATCCATTTGATGCGCCTGACACTGGAGAAGATTTACAATAATACTGGTTTAATATTCCCCTCATTTGCCTGTTAGCTAGCAAGCTAAAGTTTCAGCTAGCATATATGCTCCCCAGCTAACAAATGTTAGCTCTTTAGCTATGAAAGTCTTTGATTTGGAGGTTGGTAAACAACTTAAAATAATTTTGAACAGAATACAATCAACAAATAATGGGTGCTTTACAATACAAACATTGCTTAGCTAACGTTAGCCTAAGTCATTAACTGGTGATAATATCACACTTGCTAAGCTTGGCAGGTTTTTGTGATGATTGTAGTTAAAACTTATTTGTTTCCCTTCTTCCAGTCACCAGTCACTTGTGTAAAGCTAAGCTAACCACATCCTGTGGTCTATACTGGACACACAGAGATTAAACTGGTGTCCATGCGTCTCTGGAGAGGACGGAACAAAAAGATTTCACTACATGTTTCTTTAGCCTGTAAACAGGTGGAGGAGGCCTCAGCAGCCATCTTGTAATAAATGTGAACTGAACTGAGCTCCACTCACTATCTAAAGAACGCTAACAATTACAGCTAACATCTTTCATTTTACAAAATCAACCTGCTGCTGTACACAAAACCAGAAGCACCAATATCATACCAGTATAATATCAGCATCATTTCAGTTACATCACTGGGGGAAAATATCTGTTTCAAAGTTTCATTTTACCATTTTCTTTAATGTTACAAAATTACTGACGTTCACGATTCAGTATCTTTAAAATCTACAATAACACAAAATGTTCTGGTGTACAAAAATAACAGACTCCAAGAACTGCACGTTTTTAAATGTGTCCAATCAGTAACCAATTAGCGAAGTGAAGCATCAGTATTGTTGCTTTGGTTACCTTCTGTTTGATTTAAAACTGTGGTTAAACTGTTGACCTGAACTGTGTTTGAGATGTTAAAATGTTTGTAACGTATACTCATGTACAACAATGAATAAGTAAAATAACATGGGACCCAACATTGAACCCTGTGGAACTCCACAAGTAATGTGATCGGCTGGGAGCTCTCCAGTAGGTTCTTTTGAGAGCCATCAATCTCTGTAATGACCTATGTCATTACAGATGAATGAGTGAATTTTATTTTTCTTGACATAAAAAAAGACTTTTCCACCCAAAATTGGTGCAAAAAAATCACCAGAATGCAGGAAATAAAGTGTTTCATGCTCAAAGTTTCCTGGTGGAGTGTCCCCACACGTTCCTGCTTAGTATGTTTCCCCACCAGTGCTCAAATTAAACCTTTGCCTTTGGATGGCGTGACCAAGAAACAACATGACTTATTCATACAATTGTTACAGGTCTGCAACTGTCAGGATGTTGAGACGTGATGTCAGTTCTGCACAACGTGACTGACTGATGCCTTCACTGGCGGTGTGAAAGTTTAGAAAAATGGACCTTGTTGCATCACTTTTTGCAGCGTGATATTCTCTTTCTTTGTCAAAACACTGATGACCAAAACAACAGTTAAAAAATGTTGACGTGCAAAATAATCACACGCAAAATAAAATATGAATAAAATAAATAAAAACGCCGCGGTGAGTAGAGGCCTACAGTCCGGGAAAAAAAGAACCTACTTCTGCGCCGCAGAAAATAATTTAGTTCTCTTGTTTCTGTAATCTTTCATCATGTTTATCTTTTGACGCCAACATGCTGGATTTTACATTTAGCACCTTCTAACTACACTAAACACATGTCGACACAGATACGAGAACACGAGTGGTATTATTGAGTTGTTGCACAGGTTCCTTAGAGAACAGAGGATCATTTTGGTTGGTTTTTCCCTTTAAATCCTCGTTGATGTTGAAAAGCAGCATTCAGTTTCTTCAAGTTTTATTTAAACAACAGGGAGACAACAGACGGCGCTATCTGGTGGACAGAAAGAGGTCATCCACACTCTGTCTTCCTCTGCTCAGTAAATTCTATCAAATATTTATTTTCTACCTTAAATATGATTCAGTTTCACTTTATTGTATGTTGAGGTAGAACATATATTTTTTTTATTTCCAGTTTAAATATCTGGGATCAATGATCCATCTTTCCTTTGTTTGTTTTCTACTTCATTTAAGTAAAACATAACTGCATCATCATCATCACCTTGAGACAGTACGAGATACAAAACAAAACAACGACAGCATTCATCATCCATATCTGTAAAAAGCCCTAAATGATGATTTTGATAGCACCACCAGTATAAATAAAGTTGTATCAAATGTTTGGTCAGAGTTTGTGATAAAGGCACGTACTGACAAACAGAAACAGCTACATCTAACAGCTACACGTTCTCTGAAGGAGGTCAAACTGCACTCCTCTTCCTGTGTTTGGATCTTTTTACACAAAAGTAACTACACAAACATTTGAAATCTAAAAAACACCGGCTGCTTGTCATGTCCACATCAAATCATCTGAATATACAAGAAGAACTACGTCACAAGAAAATACAGTACAGTCAGCATCACCTGACGTGTCTGGTCACGGCTCACACGCAGTTTGACTTGAGACTTCCTGTCCTGTGTGGTTTCAGGTAAAGGGGCTGAAGCGTCAACAGAGCTGAGTGCAGCATCACAGGAGAAGGAGAAGAAGAAGAAGAGGAGGAGGAGGAGGAGGAGGACTGTCACTGACATTTCCACACAAACAAACTAGAGGGAAAAAACACAGAAAGAAATGTGAATATTGATGATAAACAGTTGGACCCATTTCATCAGACATAATTTAATAAACACTCATTTTTTATTCTTATAGTTTTTGTTTTTGCATCAACAAATATTTTAACTAGAATTACTGCCTCACTGCCGCACGCCTCTGTGAACACGGACACTTCACACAGAAGATCTATACAATCAGCACAGTTTCAAGATTAGAGTCACCAATTCAGTATCTGACCAAATGTCTCCCCTTCTGTTCCTGAGATATGACGTTAAAACATGATGATGTCACAGTCAAGCTGACCTTTGACCTTTTGACCTTCATTATTTTATCCTGTTAGACATTTGGGTCAAGTTTGGTCAGAATTAGTGGATGAATTCGTCAGTTATGGACAGAGACATATTTTGTGAGGTCACACTTACCTTTGACCTTCAACCACCAAACTCTGATCAGTTCATCTCAAAGTGGACGTTTGTGCCAAATTTGATGAAATATCCTGAAGGTGTTTGAGAGATAGGACGTACACAAGAATGGGACAGACGTCTGACCTGAAAGCATAACGCCTCCAGCTGTGGAGGTTTTATAAAAAGATTCGCTCTGTGTCTGAGGATGTGCAGTAAATAAATAAAATAAATATTCTTATTTCTCTGCATCATCAGAGGCTTCAGGTGTTTTCTCTGAATGATCTGGTCTGACTTCTTCTCACCTGCAGTCACTGCCACCGGCGCTGATGACGAACTTGTCGTCACAGGAGAATCGAATGTTTGTCACGTGAGCAGAGTGACCGAAGTAGCGCTTGTGTTTTGCCTGTGAGAAGATCAGAAGGAGGAACAGAGAGGTGATGGAGTGACCCCACTATCTGTTCAAGAAAAACATCTGACCACGTGTCGTACAAAGTTGACTTACAAATTTTTCGGAGCAGGGGAAATCAAAGAGCTTGATGAGGCCAAAGTCGTCTCCGGTCACCAGGTTGAGACCGGCGTGGGAAACACAAGCACAGTTAACGTCCGCCTTCTCTGTGTTACGAGGCCAAACTCCGAGAACCTCGTCACCCAGGATGCTGAGAACACCGAACAACAAATCAGCATCACGGTCAGTATAGAGTTCAAACAGCCCTATGTTTTTATGGACCTCTAACATGTTCCCTTTAGCTTTAAAATGTGTTCCCAAAACACTTCAGTGTATTCTATAACATCTGCAATACAGGTAGTTCCCAAAGTTCCACCGTTTGTGTTTACATGATGGATCTAAAGTATGATTGTAAGCCCCATATCCATTATATTTCACTGGATCTGCACGTGGTTCCCCACAGTACTTCAGTTAGTTCCCTAGACTCTACATTTTCTTTCACATTTCTTCACAATATGTTCCCTAAACTCTGTAGTATATGCTCTTGGTTCTATGTGTAGTTCCCTCGGCTCTTCAGTATGATTCATAGCCTCATAGTCTGTTCCACAACATATTCTGCAGGATCTACATGTTCCTTAGGTTCAACAGTTAGTTCCCTAAGCTCTAAACATGTTATTTTGCTTTCACAGTGTCTTCGCTGGACTGTATAGAATGTTGCCTAATCCCCACTTCACTTTGCTCTACAGTCAGTTCCCTAAGATCTTTACTTAGTTCCCTAGGATCTACAGCATGTTTCTCGCCACTACAGTAGATTTCCCAGGATCTACGCTTCGTTCCCTAGACTCCTCGGTATGTTTCCTAACCTCTACAGTATGGTCCATTGGCTTAACAATATGTTCCCTAGATTCTACATTTAGTTCCTTAGGCTCTACAGTATGCCCCCTAGGCTACAAAAGTAGTTCCCTTCTACAGCTACTTCCCTAGACTATAAAGTTAGTTCCCTAGGTTCTACAGTTAGTTCCCAAGGTTGTAAAGTTAGTTACCCTCTACAGTTAGTTTCCTAGGCTCTAAGGGTACTTCTGTAGGCTATGAAATTAGTTCCCGTAGTTCTGCAGTTAGTTCCCTTGGCTATAAAGTTAGTTTCCTAGATTCTAGAGTCAGTTCCCTAGGTTCTTAAGTCAGTTTCCTAGGCCATAAAGTGAGTTCACCTCTACAGCTAGTTCCCTTGTAAAGTTAATAACCTATGCTGTAAATTTCCTATGCTATGAAATTAGTTCCCATGGTTCTGCAGTTAGTTCCCTTAGCTATAAAGTTAGTTTTCTATGTTCTAGAGTTAGTTCCCTTGGGTCTTAAGTCAGTTTCCTAGGCCATAAAGTGAGTTCCCCTCTACAGCTAGTTCCCTCAGGTTCTATACTCTGTTCCCTAAGCTCTAGTGCTCTTGGCTATAAAATTAGTTTCGTTGGTTATAAAGTTAGTTACCTATGCTCTAAATTTAATTCCCTAGGTTGTACAATTTGTTCCCTAGGCTATAAAGTTAATTCCTCTCAACAACTAGTACTCTAGGTTTTGAAGTTAGTTTCCTAGACTTCATTGTAGTTCCTTAGGCTCTACAGTGTTTTCCCTAGGTTATAGAGGTAGTTCCACTCTATGGCTAGTTCCCTAGGCCCTGAATTAAGTTCCCTTGGTCTTACAGTTAGTTCCCAAGGTTTTAAAGTTAGTGCCTTTGGGTTCTAAAGTTAGTTCCCCTCTACAGTTAGTTTCCTGGGTTCCAAAGTTAGTTCCCATGGCTAGTTAGTTAGTTAGTTAGTTTTCTAGGTTCTGAGGTCAGTTTCCAAGGCTATGACCTGAGTTCCCCTCTACAGCTAGTTCCCTTGGCTTCAAGGTTAGTTCCCCAGATTCTACACTTGGCTCTCTAGACTCTAGTGCACTTGGCTATAAAATTAGTTCGCTCGGTTGTAAAGTTAGTTCCCTTGGCTCTGAAGTCAGTTCCCTAGGTTATGAAATAGATCCTTTGGTTCTGCAGTTAGTTTCCTTGGCCATACAGTTAGTTCCCTAGGGTGCACAGTTGGTTCCCCAGGTTCTAAAATTAGATCACCATTATGTTTCAACAGTAGTTTCTTGGATCTACAGTATGTTTCCTAGGAGTACGCTTCTTGCTCCTACAAGATAATCCCCGGGAAATATATCCCAGGATCCACACTTAGTTCCCCAAGCCCTTGCATGTGTCCTCTAAGCTCTCCAGTCAGTTCCCTAGCCTCTGTGGTATGTTCCCTATAGAAGCTTGATAGTAAGTTCTACAGTCATAACAAATCTCTATGGTAGGTTCCCTGAGGCTTTGGGTATGGAAAGAGCCTCTTGATTACAGCTTACACGGTTCCCTGAGTAAAATAAAACGTTATCCAGGGTTCAGCTTCAGTTATCAGAGCGGCAGAGCTGAGACTGTGTGTGTTTGTATCAAAGTGTATTTTAACTAATACGTTCACTGAGTCCTGCTGTTTTCCCGTAGAACCACAGTCGAACCTCTGAGCTCTACGGTATGTTTCCTAGACCTGACAGTACGTTTCTGAGAGCACTCAACATGTTCCCTGACATATCATACAGCACATTACACCATCTGAACCATTATCATCTCACAGCCAGCCTCACCTGGTCCAGGTAGCCCAGGTGATCCTCTCAAATGCAGACTGCTCTGTGACAATCTTCCCCAAGGGAACTTCATGCACCTGCCGAGTGTAGGTGCTGGTGGACACCTGGGTGGAACAGAACAACAATTCAATGATGTATGATGCTCCCATGAAAGATTTTCACTGTGCTCAACAGTAGAAAAACATCAGTAAATACATCTTTTATTTTATTTATTTATTTTTTGTCTTAGCTCTTAAGAAACTACCGTTACATTATTTGGCGCTACGGACGCTTCGTATCCAGGTCAATTCACATGCTTGTGAGTAAAGCATTTAAGAGCAGAGGAGAGGGCTCCGTCCAATGTCTTCATAAACTAAAGTCAAATTATTTTGCGCGACTGACACTTCATATAACATAACAATATGCTATTTATCGTGTTATGACATCATGTCATGTCTGTCTCTACATGGACACGCGTTAACAATTCTGCTCTGCTCTGTGTATGCGCGCGCACACACACACGCACACACACACACACACACAGGTGAGCCCGCTAGAGCGCGGCTCGGGCCGCATTTTCCTGACCAAACCCAACCTGAGCCTGGCGCAGTTTGTTACCTGTTATTGTTATGGACAGTGTGTAAATAACCATCAACAGACAGCTGTTACGCACAGCAGTGCAGCACGGCACTGTACACACACGCAGTTGGAGCGGAGCTTGTGTTGCGTTCAGACGTTGTCACGTAAATAACAACTTCCAACACTTAAATAGGTCATAGCACAAAACAGCAGCATGTCAAGTGACTTTTTACTGTTATTATATTCAATAAAATTGTATGTTCCTAAATCTTGAGACACCTCATATGTAAGCTAGACAGACATTTCACCTGCTCATACTGTGCACACATGTACTGTATGTACTTAGTCCTAAAGAGCCGCTGGTGCCAGTAGATACATAGAAACATCCCAGCAGGCTGTGCTTTGCAAGCATACAAAGCATCCTCGCATGTGAAAATTATTTTTCATGCGTGTGCTTCACCTCCGCTGCTACAACTCCATCCTAGAGGAAACACTGCATCTACCATAATACAACAATCCGTTAGTAAAAAGGTCAGAGGTCACAGCACCAACACCACTGATGGTAATCAAATCTCCATTCCTTGGCAGACCAAACTGAACCGGTGCACCTGTGTCATAATTCTGAGGATTTTCAGTCTTTTCAACCTGGATATGTTTGCTGTCAGCAGAGAAGTCGATCTGGATGACGGAGCCCGGGATGTCCTTACAGTAGCCAATCCTGTTGAGGGATGGTCCCAGAGAAAGGTCGTAGAAATCCACAGCACTTTCAACTGAACCCACTGCCAAGAATCGGTTGTCTGGACTGAACCTGAACCACAAGAAAACCCCAAAAACGTGTCGCTGATTGAGGTGCAACACAGAAGTGTTAAAGAACGATGTCCTGGTATCTGTTAAAGATCGATGCTGTACCGTATGTCCTGGATGGCGACACTGCGGTCTCTCTTCTTGCCCCAGACAGTGAGGGAGTTGACTAGCAAGACGATGAACTCTCCATTCTCCATACCGATGGAAACCATCTCTCCATTGGGACTGTAGGAGGTGCACTTGGCAGGATGACCCAAACTCACCTTGTTCAGAAGTTTCTAACACAGAAAACAAGATAAGAGAACATCTGAGTAGAACCACAACAAAGCTTCAGTCTCCACCCATCAGATCTGGTACCTTATCAGCCAGGTCCCATATTCGGATGGTCCCGTCATCGCTGGCGGAGATGAAGACGTCTTTGAAAGGGTGAGTTGCTAAACCCCAGATTCCTCCCTGAGTGTGTCCGTTGATCATGGTGTTGGAGGCGGCGTTCTTTTCTCCAACCTCTATGATCTCTCCATCTTTGGTTCCCACCAGGATTTTACCCTGAGACAAAAGACATCTGTCAGTATGTTGAGGGTTCCAGTGACAAGAATCAAGATCCTCCTACCTTCAACTAGAGATTTTATTTTTGAAAGAAAACTCTTAATTTTATTGTTCAGTTCACCTAAAATTCGCTGGAACTACTTTATACAGATGTTTCATTTAGCCCAGTCTCTTCCATCTGAGTGGTGCGCCAACATTTTATACACATTTCAAGAGACTGTGTGAATAGTGTTATTCTCAGTGCCGTCCATCAGCTACTGATCTACAAGTATTCTGACAAAGGTGTGACTCTACAAACTGCTTGATATAACTGGATCCACGTTATTGTGACGTGCTAGTTTAACTCCATTTTACCTGGTGCGTGCACTTTCATGGTCCTTGTGCATGTGACTTAGCAAATTGCAATGATACTTACGAATAACGACTAACAGCCATTTTTGCATTCATGCTTCATTTAGGGCCTGTGTCCACATACCCTCTTATTTAGCTTGTTCCCAATGAGAAGAAAGTGTGTGTGGGTGTCTACAGAAACAAAAAAAAAATAATGCTGCACTCAGCTCAAAGCGCTTCAATGTCACTGCCCCTCCATTAGCTGTTGGGATGGCGTGTGCAGATGTTTGTTCTGTCAGCTCTGTTCAATTTGGGCTCTTATGTCCATTTTGCAGGTGTTGGTGTTGTTTCTTGTGGTTGGTGTTGGACGGTGGTGGCATGTGGCTGCGAGTCACTCACCAGGATGAGGACAACAACTCACCATCTGTAAACTCTCCTTTTACCGATTTCTAGCTAACTGCTAGCCAATCAATGTTTATATATACATCGAAGAAAAGATGGAGAAGATGGATACCAGCTGGACGAACATCCTGCCATCGTACAACTGTTGGAAATAAGCTGGACAACCTCCATCAAGCTCCAACAGGATATCAGGAACTGTGACATCCTGTGATTCACTGAAACTAAACCCTGGACAGCTCCATCCGACCAGGGGACTCTGTTTCTCTTAGCTGATCTGATGGAGCAGAGGATTCTGGGAGAGAAGGAGAGGAGGTGTGGCTTTAATAAGGACCGGTGTGATGGTGTGAATGTGAGCTGCTGTCCTGCTCCTGCTGTGGATCATTGCTGTACGCCGTTCAGAGGCGGCTGCAGTGGGGCTCCACTCCTGTTCAGGAGGAGCGACCATGTGGACGTTTTGTTGAGGTTAGGTTAGGGTTAGATGTGTGGACAGTAACCATGGAAACCAGAACCATCCTGAAACACTGACGAATATAAAGCAGCAGCCAACGATGGCGGAAGACGATAAAACGACTGACTGACAGTGAACAAGTTAAAGGAGCTGGTGGATCACAGTTCACTGGAGTTGCACCTTGTTTGATTCCATGTGATGAATAAATGATTGATTGTCAGTCTCGAGTTGTATGAAATTATCGCAACAAAGACAGGAAAGCAGATCAGTCAGACGCTGAATGCTGCTGGTAAGTGTTGTGCTTTTATCGTTGCGTTACGTGTTATAAGCTTGTCATTAAAAAAAAAGTGCTGGGAGCAGGTTTTTTATGAAGTGCTCTGCAGCACCCAGCCACCACTTTTCTGCCAAAGACAAACACTCTGTGGACACAGGCCCTCAGGTTTTATACTCTGATCTGTCTCGTACCTTCCCTCTGCAGACGGATCGGACGTTCTCCACCGGCTGGCCGGTCTCCAGCTGAAACGCTCTACAGCGCTTCATCTCCTGATCCCAAAGTTTCACAGCGCCGCCTTCTTTAGTCCTGTCAAATACACCACCACCATCATGCTTTTATTTTCACATACAGGGATCATTTGTTGATTTTCAACCAGCTCTGTGTCAGAGTGGGACGGTGGATAGTCTGTGTAAATGAACTGTGGTAAACTTTTCTCCATCTAACCACATCTTCCTTGTTGCTCAACCACAGATTGTCCTTCCTCTTTTGTCAAGTAGGGTCGCAGCAATATACTGGTTTTAAGATATAATGTGACAGAAAAGTTGACTGTTATCAAATTGTGTACATTTGCTTATCTACGATATTGAAAACAACAACAACAACTGGACGTTGAATCTCAACTTTATTTAAGTTATTTTCAAAGGCTGTTAAAATAATGCATTAATTCTAATTAATAAATCCCAGAAAAAAATAACGCATTAAAAAAATGAATGCTGATTAATGTCATCCCATGGTGCCCTTTGACCCGGCGCATCATTGAGGGTCACAGTGTCTTTGGGTGTTTCTCAGAGTCAAGGAAGGATCCTCAAACGGCCAAATTTGAAGGACGCTACGTCATCGACCCGCCAAAGGACTGTTCCAATGTCAAGGATCCTTCTGAGTTTCACGAAGGACTGAGTATTTCTTTCAGAGAAATTCAAAGGGTCCATGTGTGGATCCTCCACGGGTATAAAATCCCCACAGTGCTTTGCACAGTACACGGTTTGCTGAAGTGAGGGCGGGGCCTCTTCAATGAAACCTGCGACAGCAGAGCTCGGCAGGATTTAGATTAATATGTCATTTATTTGGATGAATGTCTCCACCTGAGTTTATCAGACAAAACCTCATTTACACTTTCCAGTGTGTCCACTGCCACATGATGAGGTTTATTAAATAACATGATTTAGATAAAACATAAAAGTTTGAAATGAATCATTCACAGCAGAGATGGAGCGCTGAGTGCTAAGTTTCAGAGCAGCGCAGCTCATCAGATCAGATCTGTTCATGTTATTGTAGCGCAATTTGCAGAAAATATGGATCACTGTGAAATGACAGAGTGATTCTGTGTGTGTTCATACTAGGCATGTGCTGGTATGAGATTTTGACGGTATGATAACCCTGAGCAAAAATCACATTGTAACGGGTATTACCATGGTAACAATAATAATAATAATATCATAATAATAATAATCATCATCATCATCATCATCATCATAATAATAAAACAGGCATCGTCCTATTTTCGCACTCTAGACTTTCAAACGGTAGGCCAATAATTGTTTGACCGTTCATGAGCGACAGCACGTACCAGACATCTCCTGTCAGTGCAACGCATCATCGCACCAGTTGTTTAAATGTGTAATATAGACCCGTTAAAAGTAATAGAGCCATTTCTTAACTTCACGATTGTGACTCCGCCCAGCAGCTTGTTGAGCTCCTCGTTGTTGCGGACGGCCGGCTGCAGGTGACGGGGGATGATACGATTCTTCTTCTTGTCGCGGGCAGCGTTTCCAGCCAACTCCAGCACAGCTGCCAGGTAGACGGGGGCGCCAGCACCGACACGCTCCGCATAGTTTCCTTTGTGCAGCAGCCTGTGAACACAGCCGACTGGGAACTGGAGCCCAGCACGAGAGAAGCGGGTCTTTGCCTTGGCTCTGGCTTTTCCTACGGTCTGTCCGCGGCCACTCATTTTTCTGATTCTCTCTAAAGTCGGGACAAAGGGGGTTCTTCTGATAGCCAAAATCACACCACACCACAGACTTTGTCCTTTTCACCAGTGGGAAAAGTTCAGCTTCGCCTCCTTCAGCCATGTTTGCAGTTTGCACGGATTTACACTGATTACGGACGTTCTGACTGACTGAGGCTGCCGGAGGACGGGTCCTTCCATGGAAGGATCCTTGACTTTGAGAAACACCCAGTGTCACACGATGCAGGCAGACGAGACACTGCTGCTCGGTTTTCAGTTTCAGAAACAGTAATAAAACATTTGTTTAACCAACAATAACTCTTTTGTTTTCATTCCTGTGAGGATCATTCTGACTGGGAATAATATAAATTCTGTGAAACCGCAATATTTTTGGAGATGTCTATGGCACCGTGAAAATCTCACACCGCTGCAACCCTGTTCTCAGGATGTTTGTTGTATTGTTTTCGTATGGGCTACAGGCATTACATCACCCTCCAGCAGGGGAGTTTATTGGTGCGGTGCATTCTGGTAGTTGCAGGCAGCAAGTCTAATGCCACATGCCTTTTTTCTGAAGTACTTCTTCAAGTCCTGTTCCAGGAAAATGTCTGTGTTCCACTTCCTGCTACAATTCTCTCTGATCATCTTGAACCAAACAAAGCAGTCAAGAACCCGTTTGTCTGGTCTTCACCTGGAACTAGACCTTTGCTGACCCTACCAGAGGCTCAGTAAATACAAGATCTTATGTCATGTTATACTGACCTACAGGTGCCAGAACAATAAGCAGCAGGTTGTCAAACTCTGTCCAACACCTTCTGTTTATCCATTGTCTTTAATTCACTGTTCATTCAAAGCTAATGTTAGCCACAGCTAGTCTTTGATTCCATCACTGGCTCCCTTCAGTGTGTGACTGGCCTCCAACTCGTCATTTAACAGTTAACGAGAGACGAGTTGAGATGCTGAACGTTTGTGTGAAGATGAAGGAACCACAGATTTTTGAATTTTCACCACTTTTCAAACTCTCGCTGAGACAAAGCATTTTGATTTCTGGTCACTCACGGCCGTTCCTTCCCCCCGGTGACGATGAGTCCATCCCTCAGGGTGGTGTACATGGTAAAGACCGGACCACTGTGCGCCTTCGCCACCACTCGCACCAGGAAGTGCTCCCTCCATACGTACACGTCTCCGTTAATAGCACCAGTGAACGTCAGGTTGTTCTGGAGGAGACAAACACTAACTTACTACAGATTTATGTGTCTGATGTTTTTAAAAAGTTTTAAAGACCACAGTTTGTGTCTTACGGCACCAAATGCGACAGACAACATGGTCTGCATACGGCCGTCCTCCACCGAGCCGATCACTCCTTTCTTGTAGACAAGCGAACCTCCGACCAGAGTCCAGAACTTGATGTGTTTGATTCCCACCGACACAAACTGGGTGTCGGAGTCTGGTCTGAACTCCACCACAAAGATCCGCTCAGCGTGGCCTCCTTTACAGGTCACCTTCGTGCCTGGCAGAGAGGTCACAGGGGATCACAGTGAACTCAGTTTGCTTCAGTCTGACTGTATACACACATGCATCAAGGTTCTTTAAGAAAAGTTAAGTAGTTTTGGTCCCGTACACTGTGTCCGTGTCCTAACTGGATGCGAGCGCCAGACTATCGTGCCGCATCAGGCTATATCAGACGCTCTGGGTAACCACTGAACAGACGAGTGAGTATGTACTTCCTTATTGTTCAGACTCACAAGAAGACTACTGCAGGTAACTTACAGATATCATTGTTGTAGCTTCCAGACTGCATCACACCACCATCTCCACTTTGTAAAACAAGCTAGCTTAAACATCCCACACAGTTCTTACCAGAAATGTTCAGCTTCCCGTCGATCTCCTTCCGGCCAGACACAAACTTATTTATATTTCTGTAGTGAAAGAGGAGGTATCCTGCATCCTCCTCATTTAAACCTCGTTAAACAGCTGTTGCTCATCCACTGCAGTGCTTCCAGTGCAAGCCACAGAATAATATTAAACGGGACATCCGATAAAAGTTTAGCTCAAAACAACACGCCACATCACGCTGCGTCATGACGCTCACAGGCAGTTAGGACATTCAAATAGAAAACAATGCGATCGAACTGATTTAGTCGCTGACGCTCGCTCGCGTCACATCCAGTTAGGACACGGAGTGAGGGCCAAAAAAAAACTTTCAAATGACTTTTGGACTTTAATGTTTGAACAAGGAACAACTTTCTATACTGACATGTTTATTAGCCACAAACAACCTGTGACAGTTGAGACTCTAGCTTCAGCGAGCTACATGTGAGCCACAGAGGTGTGGACTCGAGTCATATGACTTGGATTCAAGTGCTACTCAAGTCACAAAGTCGATGACTTTAGACTTAACAAAATCAAAAATAACCTGCAGCTCGACTTGGACTTTAACACCTATGACTTTTAACTTGACAGTGCTTGATATCTTCCCCCAGGCCCAAAGATTGATCAAAAAGTGTGACATAAAAAATCATTTCATTTCCTGACTCAACTTCCGTTAACACTTTTCATTCTCAGCAAGCTGACGCCGAAGTAACACGAAAATCCAAACCATCAAGAACTGACTGAGCGTTCCTGAGCGCCAGTTGGAAAAAATGATATTTTGTTTGTGTACAAAAACTAAGGGTGGTCACAAAAAACAAATTACAGGATGTAAAACACGGGTCAAGAATTACAGACACACAAAAACTTCTAACAAACTTGATTTAACAAGTATTTTTGCAAATTTAGTAACTTATGACTCTGTTGCTAAAATGGCATCATATGTGGTGAAGAGCGCCTTATGACTTGTTTAGGGCTCAAACCTCAAAGTTTAAGACTTGGGACTTGACTTGGAATGAGTCAGTTTTGGGACGTGTCTTGGGAGCTGAGTTCAAAGACTTTAGACTTACTTGTGACTTGCTAAACTTTGTCGCAACTCTGCCATGCAGTCACCCTACGTCTAAAATCCACTTGGAATTTAAAACTACAGGTTCTCTGATGGGACACGTCATCACAGACTTGTGTATTCGTTTTTGGTCCTATGTCTTTATTGGCTCTGAATTCATTTAATCATATGTGTTAATAAAAATCTGTTTTAAAACCTTCAGTTTTTTATGACCATTCTTGCCCTGGTTGTTGTCATCCTCATCTCCCTCGGATACTCCAATCAGAAGAATTATGAAGACCCCAGGAAGAATAGCTGCTGCTATGCAAAAGCTAATGGGGATCTTAATAAAAGAAACAAACACTCCTCACCTGTTCTTCACCAGAGTACCTTGTTCAAGGCAGATCTCTGTTGCCCCTTGTCCATCAATGTGAGAGTCATTTTCTTAAGAACATAAGATAAACATTGTACCTTCCTGCCACCTCCACACAGTGATGATGTGTTCAGGTTCAACTCCCACAGACAGCAGCAGCTTCCCTGTGGCGCTGAAGTTGACGTAGCCGACACCTTTAGCGTGGGAACAGCGGAGGATAGACAACGTCTGCTTGGTCATGGCATCCCACACATGGATGGATGGAGCAAGGCCTGGTAGAGGAGGTCAAATGTAAGAACCAAAGAACTGAAGAACCACAGAACCAAGGCATCAAATAACCCAGAAACCTACAGATCCAATGAACTGTGGACCTGAGGGACTAAGGCAGTGAGGTAGCCCTGGAACAATAGGACTTAGGAACCTTAGAACCATAATATCAACAAGCTAAGGACCTGGGGTTTCTTACAACTGTAGAACCGGGGCTCCTGAGGTACTATGGTAGCCCAGAAATCAAAGAACCAAAGGACCAAAGGACTACAGTACTGACCAACCAAGAACTCTGGCATCCTAGAAACTGTGGAATAGAGGGTGTATGTCATCACAGCAAAGAAACTGAGAAACCATAGATCCAAGAAACCTAAGAACCACAGTAACCAAGGATCCCAGGAATTGTGGTGCCAAGGAACCAAGGCATCTCCTTAAATGTTCAGCATCTTAGAACCCTGGTCCTCTGGTTGTGTCCTTGATACTGTGGAAACAAAGATTCAAAGAACAAGGAACCAAAAGCCGTAGTCAGACCAAAGATTCTGAACGAGACGAATTTAAACTTAACTACTCGCAATGCACCGTTCTGCAATGTTCTGAAGCCTGCCAGTTTACACAAATGAGACCAGATGATACGATTAATCGTATCCATGGCAACGACTCTCCGTTGGCCGACCTCTGTTCGAACTTCTGTCTTTTCAGACTTATTTTGTGGCTGAATATAATTTGTAGCTTCTTAAAATCTGAGAGAGGATAGTGATAGTGAGATACTGGCTACAGTGATGAAACAAAACCAGCATCAGATGGACTGTATTCATAATCAATACTCCACAATAATATAAATAACCAGCACCAATTCATCAGTCAATGAGAATGTGTGTGTGGGCGGGGCATAAGCACATACAGCCAGCAGCAGCAGCGACCCACCGTCTGACACCGGCACACTGTGAGGACGGAGACTGACAGCCGTGTCATCAGTTGCAGGGATGTAAATGAGACGGACTCGGGGTTGGACGGGACCGACGGCTGTTGTCAGAAAATGCTGCATTACGTTGCCAGCTGACAAGTTGTGAATCACTAGGCCTGTTGACTTTGCTACAAGCTGATTGGCTGTTGAAACAGATGATGTGCTTTACGTTCTAAAACCCGCTGCCGGAGATTTGACCAGCTGAGCCACAGGTGACACCATCAGACGACTTGAATCCAGCTGGAACAGACCAGTTCACACCGCTGCTACTGTTCTCTGCAACCTTCTACAACAGTTTAGGCTTCTCATCAATCTTTGGTCCGAACTGGGCCTAAGATTCACAGTATCAAGGGGGCACTGAGGAAGCATCACGTAAGGAAAGGCTTTAAGGAACCAAAGGGCCAAGGAACCAAGGTAATGAGCAGACATGGACCTGGGGAACCTAAGGAATCAAGGACCTAATGTAAAAAGGAAGCCCAGGAAACACAGAACAGAGGGCCTGCAGAATCATGAAATCAAGGAACCAGAGAACTAAGGAGTCAAGGCGGCAAAATACCAAGGAATGAAGGAAAAATGGACTGAGGAGGTAAGGAAGCTTTGAACAAAAGGAGAAATGGAACCAAAGGAAGTGAGCAATGGAAATGCTGAGTATCAGGGAAACCAAGCTAGGAATCAGGAGTTGAGGGAGGAGACGTAGGAGATCCTCTGTTTTAGGATCATTCATTACTTCCATGTTGTTCAGGAGCAGGAGGAGACTGGTGCTGACATGCTGATTCAACAGAGCAGAACTGGTAAGTGACTGCGTTTTGGATTCAGAGTTGGGCGCCAATCTAATTCTGAACCACTTCATTCCGCAGCTGCACATTTACAGCAAATACTGTTAACACCTTTGTCCATGATCACACCAGAGTCTTTTCCTCTGAAGTCTGAGGTCAGAGCAGATGGACACGAGTTGTGTTCCATGATGATAAGTTATATGTGTTTGTATCAGCTCATCATAGCTGCAAACCTAATTTCTGCTAGCAGAACACTGAAGCTGAACTGAACTGAAAACTGACTGAATAAAAGGATCGTTACAATCAGCTCTGACAGTCATCATTTTCTGCAGTCTCCTGTGGAATACCCCAAGGCTTTCCTTTAGGTCCTCTCCTATTTGTGCCTTAGCTGCTTCTGCTTGCATCTGTTTCTATAAAATACAACATCCCACAACATTTCTACACTGATGACACACAGCTGTATTTCTTATTAAATCCATGTAAAGTTAGTCTTCAGTCTCATTTATGCTGTCTCATGGGCGTTAAATGCTGGATAGCCGAAACATCCTTTTTCCACCAATTGTCTCTGGCCTCAAAATGTCTGTATACAAGCGAGAAACTTGCATATCATTCTCAATTTTGCTTTAAAGTCTCTGTTGGGATATCAGATCTTAAAGAACTGATTTTAAGATTCTTTTATTTGTTTTGAAAGAACTGCATGGACCGGCACCAGCTCCAATCTCTGATCTCCTTAATCCCCATTCGACATCATCTGATTTATCTGATCAGCTTCTCCTTAAAATGTGATTGAACCTTTTGATTGCAGCTCCCAGGATGGTTTATCCCTCGCTCGTCTTGTCATCTATCAACACTTTTTTGAAAACTGCTTTTGAGTCCCCTAAATCAATATAACTTAATTCTACATTTACTTTAAAACTTAAATTAATAGGCCCGGGCTATTATTAGCTTAAATCCCTGAACTCAACAGGCCTGTATTTGAGACAGGCCTTTAATTCCTCTCCCACAAAACTGTTGCTCAGCAAAGATCAGAAAATACAATAAATTATTTCTTCAAACCAGTATGAATATTACTGGATAAAAACAAGTCTTCAGATAACATATCAAGTGTGAATAACTCATTTTATCTTGCTCTGACAGACAGAGCATCAGACAGAGAGAGTTATGGTAGTCGAGGATTACGACACTGACACACCGACATAACGCCACTCTGTCCTGTTAAAACAATCCTCACAACTTGGATTCATTTTAATGAACCCTTTTGGTTCTTTTGATGTGAGGACCCTTACAGACTGAAGGAAGATGAAGAATTTACAACGTAATCCTGGAACAGACACATAATCTGAGGAAGCCAACAACCTGATTTTATACATCCAAAGAACTTCTACAAAAAAGGAACTGCTAGGCAACCAGACCAGGCCTCTATTTGTCTAAATGTGTAGCCACACCAGGCTTATAAAATAGATGGGGCGTTTAATTGAAGTTTTCCGATATTTTCTCTGTAAAGAATTTGGTGAAAATGTTTAGTTTATAAATTACACATTGTTAGGATTCGTCCTGTCCACGAACATCTACGGTAAATTTTAAAAAAAATCTGTCCAGTAGACGTCCTGCTCTATCTGTCGGATAGAGCCTCATGTGATCATGGCTGTAGAGGGTTAATAAAACAACATCACTGCATTCTGGCAAGCTCTTTAAAAACAGTCATGTGAGACATTCACACCCTGAAATCCTCTGCAGCAATACAACTGATCCAGGTGGCGCTCCCACAGGAACTCAAGTACAAAAGCAGTCTCTGAATCACAGTCTTACCACAAACAATACACACACCACACACGGGAACAACACAGGCTAGCTCAGCTAGTTTAACATGCTGATAAGAGGCGCTAAGCAAGGCTTTGTTCTTTGTCCAACTTGCTTTAGTTTCTCTCTGGCCATGCTCACAGTAACATGGAGACATTTGAAAACACTGTTTACAAAAGCTTTTCCATCCACACTACCGTTTTCAGATAGTTCTCTACATTCTGCGTCCACACTGTAGCACGGAAACAACAGAAAGAACATTGAGGGCCCTATTTAGATGGTCTAAAACGTGAAGCGCCAGGCGTGCGGCGCATGGGCGTGTCCCAGTCACTTGCTAGTTAGACAGTGCATTTTTAGACTGTGCGCCATGGCGGAGAGTCCAAAAGGGTTGGACTTACTCTGTGAATTAGTCATGGGTGTGATTTGGGCGTATCATTCCATAAGCCAATCAGAGTGTCACCTCTCATTCCCTTTAAAAGAGGCGCAATTGGAGCGCACGGCGGAGAGCTAGTTAGATGGCGGACCTACTGACTGGAAAGAGTGAGCGTTTTACAGCTGAGGAGACGGATCTCCTCGTGCGGGAGGTGAAGGCCCGTCAGAACCAGATCTACGGGGACAGCAGACAGGCACCCAAGCTCCCCGAGGTAAAGCAGGCGTGGGATCACTAATACAAGAAAGATCTTACTAAATATCTGTGGAATATTATTCAAACCTGTTTTCATCATATAACAGAGCACAGCTGTCAGGACTGCCGCGGAGCTCCCCAAGGTGCTGATCCTGCAGCTATAGGACCTGTTCAGTGTTTTCTCCCCCACCCACGTTTGTTAATTGTGTTCACATGTTTCCTAGAGCTGTGTTCTGCCTCTTATTTGCATGTGTGTCCTCTCTACACTCAGATAACAATATAATAATATAATATAATGTAGCCTAGTATAACACGTTAAAATAAATGCAATGTGTGGACTTTGGTTTTCAATCAAAAAAATGATTGATTGGTCAGATAATTTCACAATTTCATTTGTCATTATTACAAATTATGATGATATAGTGATCATTATTACTGCGATTAGATCATTCTGATTAATGACTGACCATTAACACGTGTTTCTGATAAATATTTTAATGTGCACAATAATAACCCTTCACATTGTAATCATATTTTTCTTTGTTATCTTTTGCATATGTGTGGCTGCTCCGTGTGTGTCTGAGCAGAGTGCACGCGTGTTGTGCACCCGCCTAGAGACGCATATTACGAACTTGTTTAACAGCGAAATACTGCGCCGTTGACTTTAGACCAGGTTTTTGTTGGTCACTGGCGCATTTGCTTTTTACATCATCTAACTAGCAACGCGCCATGACTGCGCCTGACCACTCCTCATTTTTAGACCAACACACCCATAGTAGCTCAAGTTCATTTTCTTGTTAGACGACTTGGGTGCAGGGTGTGAAAATGACAACTGCTCTTGCATCTAAATAGCAATGACACTTGCGACATGGATTATGCGCCCTCCGCCGTCTGCTTTAGACCATCTAAATAGGGCCCTGAATCTCTTCTTCATCTTCCTCCAAAGGATGCTTTTTTGACAAAATATTCTTAACTACAGGTCCAAGTGGAAGTTTGTTCCAGAGCTTTCAACTTCATCTCCGACATTTCCACTATTACTGATCAAACGCTTTCAAATGAAGAGTGTGGGACATATTTTACACCTCCAAAAAGCTAGTAAGGGGACACTGAGCCAAGATGTTTTTTTTGTAAGACAAAACAATTCATCAGCACCACCATCTGGGGATAAGCAAATCCTCCACAAACACTCCGTCAATATGTTGTGATGGTTAAAACCAAAGGTCATGTCAAAGAAGGAAAGAAAACTGTTTTCACAAAAACAACCATCACAAAACAAACTGCTGTAAAACTATGAATATAAAATCCTGAGATTCACACGGATTCTTGAAATATTCTATGAATTCTACTCACACACATGAGATGATAAATAATAATAAATAATAAATAAATAATTTCCCCTCGGGGATCAATAAAGTATTTATTGATGATGCTCATGAGCGCCGCTGATTTGGCCAGATGAAGAAGAGAGTTGACAGAGACAGCAAATCGACGTTAAACTGTCATTTTTTTTGGTTCAGTGTGAATGGACTGCTGATTAGAAGCTGTGTTTTCATCTGTACCCACATGAGTGTAGACATGGTCTCTGACAGGTTGGGGGCGGAGCTACAGACAGAGAAAGCAGACCTGAACAGGATCCTGACTGCTGATACTCACCAGACACTTCAGCCTCTACGCACCGACGACAGCCAACGACACCAACACGTTAAACACTGAGTTCTCAGCATGAATGTGAACAGAATCATGTGTGTGGATGATCAGTGATGAGTGATGGCAGAAAGGTGAGCAGAGACTTACCTGGCAGGTCAGTGATGTCACCTGGTGATGAGGTGAGGCGGTGACAATGAGGAAGCAGTGGAAAAGAAAAGAAGTGCAATGGGCAAAAAGCAGACGGGTCATGCACGAGAACAACACGCAGATCAATACAGCAACTGTGTCTCTGTGTCGATACATAAAGTCTGAGGTCTGTTTGTTTCTCTGCTGAGACTGAAGTAATGTTTCAGCCTCAAGTAACAGCAGAGAAACTGAAACAGGAGCAGGAGAGAAAACATCCAATATAAAGCAGATAATAAAGACCTGACTCTCTGCAGGTGAGGTCAACACAGGTGATCAATCCGATCATCTTTTCCTCAGAGAGTAACATCTACTGCGTTTGTGTTAGCATGTTAGCTGTCTGAGCACCGATATGAGATGATAACACTGAAGAAAATATGGCAGTGGACAGATTACTAAACAAAGGACCCCTGAACACGAGTAAGACAGGCCCCCGACCCCTCGTACATAAAGGGCTGAGGACAGAAAGAGACGCAAAAACACTAAAAACGATGTGGCTTTTATTCATTTCATGTCTCTCTGTAGTCGTTTTAAGTCTCTTTGTTGCTGTTTTAAGTCTCTTTGTTAGCCTGTGCCCAGTTAAATAATCCATGGCAGCAAAGTGACGCCAGCCACATCATCATGAGGAATTATATAAACTCACATTTATTAAACATGAATTTGTCTCATTTTACATGGTTAATACTTATGGAGACGTCCACATAGAATATAATTTAATATGGACATGACAACTTTTCTACTTGTTAGCATGCTAGCTAGCTAATGCTGTAAGCTGATGACCTCCTGGATCAGAACATAATACAGTAGCTGTCAGCACTGATCATTTTACAGAGGACACCACAAGAAAACATGTTCTTAGTTTATTTTATTTTACATTTTTTTTTTTTTTTTCTTTTTTTTTTTTTTGTTTTTTTTTTGTTTTATTTATTTTTGTTATCTTTTTTATGTTATCTATTTTTTTTTTTTCTTTTTTTTTTCTTTTTTTTATATATGTTTTTTTTTTATTTTTTGTTTTTTTATTTAAACTAAGAACATGTTTTCTTGTGGTGTCCTCTGTAAAATGATCAGTGCTGACAGCTACTGTATTATGTTCTGATCCAGGAGGTCATCAGCTTACAGCGTTAGCTAGCTAGCATGCTAACAAGTAGAAAAGTTGTCTGTCTTGTTCAGTTGATGTCAGTGTGACACACACTCCTCTACTGAGCGTCCAGCAGTCATTACAGACTGAATATCCAGATTATAATAAACTGGAGACAAAACTTTATTTCTACTTTACGTAGATCAGGCATGTCCAAAGTCCGGCCTGGGGACCAATTCAAAACAGAATGTTGGTTAATGAAGCACGTTCACTTTGTATTTTTTCTGTTCCCCTCACAATGGTCGAACTATCCTAGAGTTTTTAGACATGTACCAAACAGGAACTACGCAGGTGGAACTGATGTGTTTTCATAAACAGACAGTAAACGAGCAAACAAACGGGTTATCTGACAGCAGACATTTCCTGCCGCAAACGTAGCTCGACAGCGAGTGCGGCTGCTTTAGGAGCAAGGACGGTTAAATAGTGTTTCAGTCAAAGATGGAACAGTTGCATTTGTCTCATTTGTAAGTGATTTGTGTTGGTATTAGCAACCCATATGATGTGAGAAGCAGACGTATTTAATACGGCCCCCCATCAAAAAGATCATAGATCATAAATCCATCAATATAAAAACGACCCACAGACATCAGTTGAGAAATATAAACGTTTTAGTGATTTTATAAAGAAAAACTGCAGCTCCTGTTTACGCTGATTGTTTACAGGCCAGTGTTGCTCTCTTCAATATGGCCACCATGTTGACGCATCACTGCAGGGGCCTGACACAGTCAATGTGGCGTCTGTCTGTCTCTGAGTTGAAGAAGCGAGTGGGAGCAGTTTGATTTCACCTCAGACACATCAGCTGAGTGGACACTCACCGATTTGTCCCGTAGCGATGATGTTTTGGTATTTTGGGTGTTGGTTGACGGTCAGACAGAGGATGTCGTCAGTGTGTTCCAGGTAGAAACTCTGGGTTCCTGTCAGGACAGTAGGCAGGAAGCGGATATCATCATCAACAACAACCTTTAGGCAAGGCAAGTTTATTTGTCTAGCACATTTCAGCAACGAGGCAATTCAAAGTGCTTTACATAAAATATACATAAAGTAAAAGCAATAAAGGCAACATAAAAAGATATTAAATACTCAAAAACTCAAAGAGAGTTTAGTTAGAAATCAAAAAGCTAAAACAGAATAAGTTACAGTGCAGTGTGAGATAATAATCAGTTCAATCAGAAGCCTCAAGTTTGATTTAGTAATAGGCAGCGGCAAACATAAAAGTCTTCAGCTCTGATTGAAAAGAACTGAGAGTTGCAGCAGACCTGCAGTTTTCTGGGAGTTTGTTCCAGTTATGTGGAGCATAAAAACTGAATGCTGCTTCTCCATGTTTGGTTTTGACTCTGGGGACAGAAAGCAGACCTGTCCCAGACAACCTGAGAGGTCTGGATGGTTCATAACCTTGCAGCAGATCAGAAATATATTTTGGCCCTAAACCTTCAGTGCTTTATAAACCAACAACAGTATTTTAAAGTCAATTCTTTGACAGACAGGAAGCCAGTGTAAAGACCTGAGAACTGGAGTGATATGACTCACTTTCTTGGTGTTAGTGAGGACTCGAGCAGCAGCGTTCTGAATCAACTGCAGCTGATTTTTTAGGGAGACCTGTGAAGACACTGTTACAGTAGTCGAGTCTGCTAAAGATAAATGCATGGACAAGTTTTTCCAAATCCTGCCGAGACATCAGTCCTTTAACCCTTCTTCAAGTGATAGTTGGCTGATTTTGTGACTATCTTAATGTGGCTGTTGAAATTCAGGTCTGAGTCCATGACTACACCAAGATTTCTGGCTTGGTTTGTGCTTTTTAACATTACAGATTGAAGCTGAGCGCTGACTTTTAATCGTTCTTCTTCTTTGGCTCCAAAAACAATTACTTCAGTTTTATCTTTGTTCAGTTGAAGATAATTCTGGCACATCCAATCATTGATTTGTTCAATGCATTTACTCAATGCTTGTATTGGACCATACTCCCTGGTGATATGGTTATGTAGATCTGTGTGTCATCTGCATAATTATGGGAAGATATCTTTGAGCCAGTGGGAGCATCTAGATGTTGAACAGAAGAGGCCCCAGAATGGAGCCTTGGGGAACTCCATCCTCAGATGTGTAATTACCTATAGACACAAAGTAGTCTCTGTCCTTTACGTAGGATTCAAACCAGTTTAGTACAGTTCCAGAAAGTCCCACCCAGTTTTTCAGTCAGTCTAGTAATATGGTGTGGTCGACTGTGTCGAATGCTGCACTAAGATCCAGTAACACTAAAACTGAAATTCTGCCACTGTCTGTGTTTAAGTAGATGTCACTGAAGGCCTTAACAAGAACAGTCTCAGTGCTGTGGTTAAACATCATTAGCTCGGTGTGAGAGCTGAACTGACCGGCGGATAGGTTCTGGATGACCACGGCAGCAGCAGTGTGGAAGATGATGTCAGCACCGTCGTTGAGGTAATGCAGGTTGTTGCGACAGTCGAAGCCTCTGTAGCCAAAGACGTGCTCCAGCACCAGCTCCTGAAAAACAAGACACCATCAGCCGCTTGAAATGAAGTCATATGTCGGCGGTGTTAACGAGGCTCGTACTGACCTCCACCACCTTCTTCTTCTTGGTCACGTTGTTCTTCAGCAGTTTGTCGGGCAGCGGGGCAGCTCGACTTACTGGAGGCCTGTACAGGAAACAGATTCACGAACAGTTCAGATACAGAAACACTGTGTGTCCGTGTGTGTGTGTGTGTGTGTGTGTGCGGGTATGTGTGTGTGGGTGTGATCACCTCTCCTCCACAGGAAGCTCTTTGTGCTGCAGGTGAGGTCTGGTTCCTGTCATGTTCCTGATGCTGGCAGAGTAGATCTTGGTGATGTAGTCCACCACCTTCTCCCGTGCCACGTCGCTGTCGTACCCTGAAAACACAACAACCGACACAAGTCAGAAACAGAGGGCTCTGTGGGGACAGAGCACCTGCTGCAGCAAGCCAACACGCTGTCTGTGGTCATTTTGACTTGACCAGCAGACTTCACTACAAGCTGATTGGCTGTTGAAACAGGTGACGTGCTTTAAAACCAGCCGCCGGCCATTTGACCAGCTGAGTGTCAGGTGACATCATCAGCCGGCTTGAGTCCAGCTCAGACCGGCCAGTTCACACCGCTGACACTTTTCTCAAATGGTTTCGTCTCGTCATGAATCTTTGGTCTAAACTGGACTTAAAGGGATAGTGCACCCAAAAATGAAAATTCAGCCATTATCTACTCACCCATATGCCGAGGGAGGCTCAGGTGAAGTTTTAGAGTCCTCACATCACTTGCAGAGATCCAAGGGGAGAGGAGGTAGCAACACAACTCCACCTAATGGAGGCTGACGGCGCCCCAGATTCAAACGTCCAAAAACACATAATTGAAACCACAAAATATCTCCATACTGCTCGTCCGTAGTGATCCAAGTGTCCTGAAGCCCCGACATAAAAAGTTGTTTGGAAAAACCTCATTTGAACTCTGTTTTTAGCCTCATTGTAGCCTGTAGCTCTGACTGCCTCTCTGGACACCGAGCTCACGTGTGTGCGCTTGCGCGAGACCGTGAGACATGGGCACCGCCTTCATGTGTGTTCACGTGCTTTCACTGGTCTCGCACACACCTGAGCACAGTCCACAGAGGCAGTCAGAGCTCCTGACTGCTCCTCTCCCCTTGGATCTCTGCAAGTGATGTGAGGACTCTAAAACTTCACCTGAGCCTCCCTCGGCATATGGGTGAGTAGATAATGGCTGAATTTTCATTTTTGGGTGCACTATCCCTTTAAGACTTCTGTTTTTGCGCCATCATTTTGTCCACTTGCGATGATGTCATTACAATATGCTACAAGCGGTCCAAAAGATGGTGAAAACGTGCAGTGGCGCCAGAGGAGGAGCATACAGTACTCATGAACACCATGACCTGGAAGACTGAGAATCTTCAGCTATACAGTCTGTGTGGTTTTGTTACCTCCGTCCTCCTCCGTGTCGTCGTCTGACTCCTCGCTGTCCACAGCTCTACTCTCTTTGTGACCCGGTGGCTCTCTGGTCCAGATCATCAGCGCGGTGTCGGCCCCGCCCACTGACAGCAGCATGGAGTCATCATTGGACCAGCGGACGTTTGTCACGTTGGTGCTGTGACCAACGTACTTCTTAAACTTGGCAAACTGGCCCTAAGAACGGACAAAGGTCAGCATGAGAAGACGTCATGAAGAGACGCTGTGATGTCACTGGAGCCCCCCCCCCCCCAAAGGATCAAACTGCAGTTTTCACATCCACGTCTCCCCGACACAGCGGCGCATCTCACCCTGGATGGGAAGCTGAACAGTTTGAGGAAGCCGAAGTCGTCTCCAGTGGCGAGCAGTTTGCGATCTTTGGTGAGCGAGGCGGCGTTAACGAAGCTGAGCGTCGGCCATATTCCCTCACAGGTGGGACCCAGAACAGACGTCCAGCTCGCCCAATCCAGCTTCTCAAACTGCAAACAAACAAACAAAGGTGTTGATCTGCAGGAACAGACAGAACCTGATGACGAGAACTCGGACGCAGACTGACCTCGGCCACACTGATGTTCTGTTTGCGTCCTCGCGGAGCCTCAAAGAACAGCTGCTCTTTAGCTCCAGTGTTCACCTGCAGCAGTTTACCTGCACGGAGACACACTCTGGTTTTTATGGGTAATCAGTTAGCACGTTAGCGTAGCATCAGCACAGGTGAGTGTGTTCACCTCTGGAGTCCCAGTCGATGTGTGTGATGTAGCTGCCAGCTCCTTTACAGATGCCGACTCTCTTACTGGTCAAGACGTTGTAGATGTCCACAAAGGAATCGTGGGACGCCACAGCCAGGTACTTCCCCGCGTCTGAAACAAACACACAGCTGTGATTCATCATAGACCGACCAATCATCTCCACCCTGCATCACAGCTGCGTGCTGAGTTCAGGCACCTTGGGAGAAGCGGATGTCCGAGATGAGCTCCCTGCGGTGGTGAAAGGTCACCATGTCCTCCAGCGTGTCGGCGTTCACCACCAGGAAGCTGCCGTCGTTCAGACCGACCGCCAGAGCTTTACCGTCAGGTGAGAAGGCACAGCACCGCCCACCTGTAGTGCACAGGTAACACACACACACACACACACACACACGTAACACACACACACATGTAACACACACACAGGTAACACACACATACACATGTAACACACACACAGGTAACACACACACACACACACACACACACACACAGGTAACACACACACACACAGGTAACACACACACACGTAACACACACACGGTAACACACACATGTAACACACACACACACACAGGTAACACACACACACACACAGAGGTAACACACACACACACACACAGGTAACACACAAACACACACAGGTAACACACACACATGTAACACACACACAGGTAACACACACACACACACACAGGTAACACACACACAGGTAACACAGGTGTGATACTTTTACCCTTCTTGAGTTTGCGGACGGCGACCATGCGGTGATTGGCCGACAGCTCCCAGATCCTCAGAGTTTTGTCATCGCTGACGGTAGCGCAGACAGGAAGTAGAGGGTGAGCCGCCAAACCCCAAACCTCCCCTTCCATGTGACCCTGAACACAACATGAAGGACACCCTGCAGTCAGTGAACGCAGCACAGACATCATGTGATCGATCAGCTGACGCTGCTCAGCTGAGTCACTTTAAATGCAGGTTTGTAACTAACACAGGAAATGAGGTCATGTTACTTCCCGTAAGCCATTAATCCTTTTTGATCTTATGGGCTGCGGTCGGCGAGACGTCACCGCTACCTGCTTGAGAACGGGCGGCCTGACTTTTGGAGCTACTCCAGAGAAGGTCCATTTCTGGCGCGGCTTGGCGTGGCACGATGCGTCTTACATGATAATGGAAGCTTTACTCAGCGCCGCCAAAAGTCCATCCATTTTCATCCGCTTATCCTGAGTCGGGTCACGGCCAGCGAGCGTCTGGTGGCTGGGGCTTGGGCCACGGGGCCAAAGTGACAATGATGCACACGCTCTGCTCACGTAGGCACTGCGGCCATGTGGCCCAGGTCACAGTGCCTACGTGAGCAGAGCGTATGCATCACGGAGCCTCTTGTATTTTTTTTTTTTGACAGATAAGAGCAGCCACACTGTCGGCGTGACGCAATGCGACGCGGCGAGATGCTAACACAAAGCTTTTTATTGTTAAACATCATCACGACCGTGTTGCTGATGATGCAGCGGCTGCTCAGCTCCGTATCAGCTTATAATTGTGGAAATAAATGAGTGACAGCAACGAGCAGCCCCCGGACAGCGCCGCCGTCTGCGTGAAGCATCGCTCAAGAGCTGCAGCAGCTCAGCAAGGTCGCGGTCACGTCCCGTATGATACTCGTACGATGGCAGTTGTTAGCAGAACGAGAAACAATGGCGGAGACTGAGGACGCTGCTCCAGAGCAACCTGCAGGTCAGATATTTATATGAAGTAATCAATGATTATTATATTGGTAAGAGGTTAGTTAGTAATCAGGTTGGTCTCCCTAACAGCACACTGTCCCAAACTTTAACATTCACACTGGAATTCACCAGAATCAGGAAAAACTAAACTTTAGAGGAAGCTGTGCGTTCACAAAAACAAAGAGCAGAACAGATGTAAAACGCGGCGTGTTTCAGTCTGTGGAGCGGTTATTATTATCTCAGTCACTGTGTGTGTTCATGTTCCAGCTGAACTGTTACTGTAGTGACGTACAAACTGTCATCAGGTGGGCGGAGCTACATTTGAAGTACCACATGTAAACTGTGCAGAATTTCCTGTAATTGTTTCACAATAAAAGCCTCTTTAGAAAGTGAAGGGATTCTCTCAGTTGAAATGATGATGGGCTTTTAATTTGAAACAGAAACAGGAAGTGTTGAGTTTGATTAAACTAAGAACAGAATGATAAATGGTGTTGTGTGTTTGACATGCAGCTGGTAGCCTCTGCAGCTGTGCTGAGTAAAGGCCCAGACACTATCCGTGAGTTTGATTCCTTTATATCCTCCATTATGAAGAAAGAACATTCTTTGCTAGCTTGATGCTAATGGCAGTACTCAGCGGGTTGATAAAGTGCCTCTGCTGTTTCCTTTTTACTCTGTGTGCTAACGTCCCTACAGGAAATATCTGAAAGGCTGGGCTGTTGTTGTCCTACAGTTTCCATGGCAACAGATTACTCTGTGTTCCTATTGGTCAAAGTGACGGCTGTGACGGGAGAAGAAAATCAAACATGCTAGACTTTCTGTGGGGACGTCGTGAGGTGTCTCAGACGTGGCGTCGAACATGGTTAACTATGACACACTACACCAGGTGGAACGATGGATTACGGCGGACGACACTCGTTGTCGTTAACAATCCATGCGGCGCTGTATGACGCTGTGTCTGGCATTAAACACAGGACGATTAACAAATATAAAACTGCCCGTGAGATGTGTTTAACAGGCTGATAGAACGAACATGAACTGAGTTTCTGTCACTTTGTTTAATTCAAAGGGATCTGACAAAAATGATGAAGGTTTCTGTTTTTAATGCTAATAAAGATTAGCTTCATGTTTATTGTCTCTCAGTGTGTCTGCGTTTTAGAAGCTGGAAAATGATCCAAACCAAACTAGAGTCTTCCTGGTGGCCCCCCCTCACCCGAACTCAAAACATGCAGCGCTCGGTGCAGAATTCACGGCCGACGCTTCATCGTCTCGTCGCCCTGCGGATGTTTGTGGCATGAACATGCAGCTCTCCGACTGCAAAGACACTAATAAATATATCAGCCTCAGCAAAAGAACAAACAAACAAAAAAACCACAGCCCATCAGTGTGACGCTGCTGCTGACATCACTCTGACATGACGACATGTTTCCTCTGATGTGAGTGAGACCTGAACCAGAAGCGTCATGGGGCCGCTCTTATCGATCTCCAGGACTTCTCCGTTCTTTGTCCCCAGCAGGATGTGACCGTGACCCAGAGTGATGGCTCTGATGGACGGGTTGTCCTCCAGCAGCAGACCTGGGGGACAGACGGAGACAGAGAGACGCCGTGTGAGAACAATCTGCGTGTCTGTGCTCTGTGATGACGAGACGTGAGGCCAGATTTGAGGCGTTCCGGTGACACCTTTGGACGACGGAGACAGAGCGGCTCTCTTGATGGCGTACGTCTTCAAACATCTCTCAAACATGTCGTCCCACAGCTCCACGATGCCGTCCTTCCCCCCTGTCACGAAACCCTGGACAGTGAACGCAACACAGGAAACAACAGACACACTGATCATCTCCCGAATCATCAACATCCCATTGGAAGTTCAGAGCTGCCGATAAAATATCAACTCATAAAATCAACCTGAAACTTGAGTCTGTGTGTGACGTTCAACAACAACCAATAACTAATCAATAATGTATTGATCCAGTCTAAGTGGGAAATCAGTCAGTGTGAAATGAAAAGTCTTCTTGTTTATTTAAACTGGATATTTATTTATTTAGTTATTTATTTAATATTGTGTTTCATTTTATGACTGTTGATCAAAATGATGTTGGAATATTCTCTGTTCTTATATTTCAACTAATCCCATAAATGACTACGTATTTGTTTCATATAATAACTGATCTATAACATTATTATCATTATTATCATTATTATCATAATTATTATTATTATTATTATTACTACTATATTCTGATATTATAACTAAAATTGCGACTTTAATCTTGTAAAAAGAATACAAATCTATTTCAATTGATTCTTGTACATTTTTATGTACACTTCCTCCCTGTTGTACATTTGGCACCGTGGCTGCATGAAGGGGCGGAGCTATCCTCCCTCTCTGTCTCCACATCTTCCTCTTCATCATCACCTGACTATCTGACCTGCTGACACTGAGCTGTCTGAGTTATGAAACAATCCTGTGTCCTGTCCCTCTGTCTCGTCTCAGCCGTGTCACTGATTCTTCGTCAAACATCTCAAAAGGAAAAACACAGGAAATAAAACCTGTTCTGAAAAATGTTAACGGACGAAAGTTTGAGACTCAAAGTGTGAAAAGGTTTTTGAGTTCAAGACGAGGGAACAGGAAGTGCTAAAATGCTAACTCATTTCTGAATTTTAGGACTATAAGTATCTCCTTCCTCATCCTGGTCCAGGTGTTCCAGGTGTTCCAGGTGTTACCTTGTCCAGGGAGCACATGGTGAACACAGGGCCGTCGTGGGCCTTGATGGTCTTGATGAGCGTCGTGTCTCTCCAGATGTAAACATCTCCGTTGGTGGCTCCAGAGAAGACCAGGTCCTCTGATCGACCGTAACACGCCGACATCATCGTCTCCTGTTTCCCCAGGTTACCGAAAATCCCCCGTTTGAACGTCAGACCGCCACCTGCAGGAGGAGGGTGGGACAGTCAATGATTAATCCGTTTCTCCTGATGAAATCATTTGTTTGTTGTTGTTTAGCCTAGCTAAGCACAAAGACTGGAACCAGAGGGATGCTGCTAGCTTAGCTTAGCTTAGCTTTAGCTTAGCTTTAGCTTCACCAGAAGAGAAACAGATGACTGACAAACCCAGCAGCTTCTGATTATTCCACCTTCATGTGTTCATCCTGAATGAACTCATTAACAATTGATTAATTGATGATGTTTTCATGTCTTTGTCATGTTGTTGTACTTCCTGTTTATGTTTGAGAGGTTTTACTGAGACTCAGGGACGGGCGCTCAGGTGAGGACAGGTTTACCTGAATGTTGCCAGAACTTGATGTGTTTGATGCCGACAGTCACCAGTTTGTCCGTCCTGAACGGGTTACTCCTCACCACGAAGATCTTCTCTTTATGACCCCTAAGGGACAGAGACAGGTCAAAGGTCAGTCTGCTGTCCGTCTGTCAGCTATGGACAGATGGACAGGTGCACAGGTGGACAGATGGACAGGTGCACAGGTGGACAGATGGACAGGTGCACAGGTGGACAGATGGACAGGTGGACAGGTGCATAGGTGGACAGGTGGACAGATGGACAGTTGGACAGGTGGACAGGTGCATAGGTGCACAGGTGGACAGCTGGACCGATAGACAGGTGGACAGATGGACAGGTGTACCTGGCCTTGGCCAGTCTCTCTCCTTTCTTCCAGTCCCAGATGACGATGGAGTGAACTTCATCGATTCCCACTGAGACCAAACTCTTTCCGTCCACTAAGACAGAGAGACAGGAGACAGACAGACAGACAGACATGAGACATAGAGACATGAGAAGCTGCATTCACAAAACCTCATACACAAAAATTGTGAGGTCCTCCTGTATAAACACAATCAGTGATGAAGGGATAACAAATGGTGTTTTAAAACTTGGAAAACGAAACAGCTTACAGGTGGTACGTCAGGGATAACAAATAGTAATTCAGTGTTTGTAGAAAGTGAATAATAAATTCATTTTAACAGATCAATCATAAATGTGCTGTAGTGTGTGGGGAGGGATACCAAATGGTGCAGTGTGAAGTGAGGTATGCCAATTGGCACAGTCTGCCATGAGGAACACCATGTGGCGCAGTGTGCACTGAGAGATACAAACTGGTGCAGTGAGGGACACCAAATGGTGCACTATGGGGTGAGGGACACCAAATGGAATATCTTGTAGAGAGGGATACCAAATGGCGTGGTGTGCAGTTAGGGACACCAGTTGGTGCTATGTGGGACACCAAATGGCACAGGTTATAGGGAGGGAAACCAAATGGCACGGTGTGCAGTCAAGGACACTGAATGGTGCTGTAAGGGACACCAGATAGCACACTTTGTAATAAGGGATACCAAATAGTGTAGTGTGCAGTGAGGGACACCAAATGGTGCGGTGTGCAGTGTGTGTACCTGTGAACTCCAGAGCACACACTCCTCTGCTGTGGTGTCCCTTTAGTAGAGACAGACACTTCAGAGTCTGGATGTCCCAGATGTGGACGGCCGGGTCTCTGCCCACCTGAACACACACACAGCCAATCAGAAACACTCTCAGTCAGACTGACTGAAACATGCCGCCCTCTGATTGGACGGCCGTACCTGAGCTGAGGCCACATAGTCTTTGAGCGGGTGGACGGTGAGGCTGAGGATGTCGTCGTCATGGCCGAGATAAAACCTCTGACTGTGCTGCAGACGGTTGTAGACAATGGCGACGGCAGCCACGTGGTACACCACCTCCCCCGTCTGACTGTAGAACAAGTTGTTACGACAGTCGAAGCCCCGATACCTGCACAGGTGACAGGAAGTTACACCGCCACAATAAAGGTCAGCTCATACACAGAAACACAGAGAGAGCACCAGAGCTGCCAGTAGGAGGACAGAGGACAGAGGATGAAGGACAGAGGATGAAGGACAGAGGACAGAGGATGGAGGACAGAGGACAGAGGATGGAGGACAGAGGATGATGGACAGAGGATGGAGGACAGGACAGAGGATGGAGGACAGAGGATGAAGGACAGAGGATGGAGGACAGAGGACAGAGGATGGAGGACAGAGGATGAAGGACAGAGGACAGAGGATGGAGGACAGAGGATGGAGGACAGAGGACAGAGGACGGAGGATGGAGGACAGAGGACAGAACAGAGGATGGAGGACAGAGGACAGAGGATGAAGGACAAAGGATGGAGGACAGAGGACAGAGGATGGAGGACAGAGGATGATGGACAGAGGATGGAGGATAGAGGACAGAGGACAGAGGATGGAGGACAGAGGATGAAGGACAGAGGATGGAGGACAGAGGACAGAGGACAGAGGATGGAGGACAGAGGATGAAGGACAGAGGATGGAGGACAGAGGATGGAGGACAGAGGACGGAGCATGAAGGACAGAGGACGGAGGATGAAGGACAGAGGATGGAGGATGGAGGACAGAGGATGAAGGACAGAGGATGGAGGACAGAGGATGGAGGACAGAGGACGGAGCATGAAGGACAGAGGACGGAGCATGAAGGACAGAGGATGGAGGATGGAGGACAGAGGATGAAGGACAGAGGATGGAGGACAAAGGATGGAGGACAGAGGACAGAGGACAGAGGATGATGGACAGAGGATGGAGGACAGAGGATAGAGGATAGAGGACAGAGGATGAAGGACAGAGGACAGAGGATGGAGGACAGGACAGAGGATGGAGGACAGAGGACAGAGGACGGAGGATGGAGGACAGAGGACAGAACAGAGGATGGAGGACAGAGGACAGAGGATGATGGACAGAGGATGGAGGATAGAGGACAGAGGATAGAGGACAGAGGATGGAGGACAGGACAGAGGATGAAGGACAGAGGATGGAGGACAGAGGACAGAGGACAGAGGATGGAGGACAGAGGATGAAGGACAGAGGATGGAGGATAGAGGACAGAGGATGGAGGACAGAGGATGGAGGACAAAGGATGGAGGACAGAGGACAGAGGATGGAGGACAGAGGATGGAGGACAGAGCATGAAGGACAGAGGATGGAGGATGGAGGACAGAGCATGAAGGACAGAGGACAGAGGATGGAGGATAGAGGACAGAGGATGGAGGACAGAGGATGGAGGACAGAGGATAGAGGACAGAGGATGGAGGACAAAGGATGGAGGACAAAGGACAGAGGATGGAGGACAGAGGACAGAGGATGGAGGACAGAGGATGGAGGACAGAGGATGGAGGACAGAGGATGGAGGACAGAGGATGGAGGACAGAGCATGAAGGACAGAGCATGAAGGACAGAGGACAGAGAATGGAGGACAGACTATGATGTGACTGTTTTTATTTTCCCCGTGTTGGACTGACGTATCACAGACTTCACATTCATGATGACATCATCAGCACACATCTGATCAGTCTGATCGTCTCTACCCGTGAACAAACTGCAGGCGAAGCCCCTCCTCCGGAGCTTTCTGACGCTTTAGGGAACCAATCAGCTTTTTCCTCAGGTGAGGCAGGTCCTCCTTATACACCTGCAGACAGACAGGGACAGGTGAGACAGGCAAACAGATAGACAAGACAGGGACAGGTGAGAGACAGACAGACAGACCTGGCGTTCGTAGCTGGTCTGAGCTTCCTGTTCAATGTCCGAGTCGAGCTCCGGGACGTCGGACACGTCCGAGTCCGACTCCCCACTGTTGGAGTCGGCATAACCCTCTGAACACACCAACCAGGAAATGACCTTGTTAGTAATATCTAAACACAACTGCACGTTTTTTAACTGAAGTCACTTAGTCCTGACAGATCACTCTTCAGGGATAACCAATGGCAACGTCGAGATTTAGGGATAACATTGGTGTTTAAGAGTGAACATGACGTTGACGAGGGTTTATGGATGCAATGATGATAACACATGGTGAGATACTGTTTACTGATGATGACACACAGATGTTTACAGGTGGCGGGTTAGGGATAACAAATGTTGGATTAAAGATGATCTAAAATGTGTGTTTAGGGATAAGAAAGTTTAACAATGAACATCTGAGGATAACAAATGGTGAATTAGTATACACTGATGATTGACCTACGGTTGTTTACAGGTGGCGATTTAGGGATAACAAATGTTGAAATAAAGATGATCTAAAATGTGTGTTTGGGGGTGAGGGAGTTTAAAGATGATCATTTCAGGATAACAAATGGTGCTGCAGGTTTTAGGTGTTTAAGGGATGAGAAATATTTCATCAAAATTTACAAATCTTTTCCAGATGTTTATTGATAATTTTCAGCCAGCAGTTTTGGGATAACAACTGTGATTTAAGGGACTCATAAATGGAAATTCACGATCGCTGATTTAGGGATAACAAATTGTAATCCAATGTTTACAGAGGTTTTAGGAGTTTTAAGAGTTTAGATTCTGATTTGGGCTCCGTCGGTTCAACAGGTGGTTCAGGACGTTGACCCGGTATAAATGCTGAAACAGAACATTTTGGCTTTACCTTGGAGGAGGGGCTCCAGGACGCCGTTCATGACGCCTTCGGGCAGGAACCTCCACTGGAAAACAGCGTGGTCGGCGCCACCAGTGCTGACGACCCACTGCAGGTCGTTGGACCAGCGAACATTTGTCACATGGGCAGAGTGACCGATGTACTTCTTGAATTTGGCGCCTGTTGGAGGAAGAAGACGGTGAGAGTTTACCGATTCAGACAGAGGAGGTGGTCAAACGTGGATACAGCCCAGTGTCACCGCATTCTGTGCAGCCATATTGTTTCCACACGCAGACGCCAAGATGTCCGTTATTAATATGTTAAGATAAACGTTTGGAAACCGACTGGAACAATTCAGTCAGGTTCTTTTTCAGTCGACTCGATTCAAGAGATGGACGCATGGAAAACTTGATCCTATTGGACAAAATAACAGTGTCTGAAAAGGAAAAGGTCAAACTTTCATGTCCCCACCCCGTTACTACGTCTCTTCTTTTTACTCTTATTTCAACAAATTCCCAAATGTATTTACAGCGAATATAAAACTGTCCGCGGCCCGTTTACAACCCAGTCCAATAAATAAGTCATAAACCCAGTGTAGCTACAGCCGAGAGTTAACACAACCTGTCCTCCTCGATTTATCTGCCAAAAATATCTGCACAGTTTTTTAAACGGACTCATCATGCAGCCGCTCCACACACTGACATACACACACTCTTCCTGGTTGTACACACACACTGTTTTTTGAAATTAAATTCTTAAATTATAACCTCCCTCCCTGAAACAGATGTTGACAAAGTTTTTCCTCAGTTCGCAGTTGAGAAGCAGAAATAAATCACAATACGTTATCATAATACTCAGTGTATCGCAAAACATTTAAAATCTAGTCATAATGTCTCGTGATCGTATCAGGTGACCTCTGGTGACACACACACTGAGGATCCTCCGGGAGAGACTGGAGCTTCAGCTCTGGACATCTGGAAGCATTTAACTTTATAGACTCATAAAACTCTAACAATACAGATCACTGATGTATTCTAAAGTTCTCCCCCGGGGCCGAGACACTCATCCACGTGGTCGGTGGCTTAGTGGATAGAGCAGGTGCCCTGTGTATAAGACTGTTGCTGCAGCGGCCCGGGTTCGACTCCAGCCTGAGGCCCTTTGCTGCATGTCACTCTCCCCCTTCATGTTTAGCTGTCCTGTCAATTAAAGGTAAAAACGCCCCAAAAAATATCTTTAAAAAAAAGATAATCCATCGTTCTATTACAGGTTTAGGAGAAAATAGTAGAAATAACTTGGAGCTTCAAGGCTACAGATCGGATTTTCAACTGGCACAGGATTTTAATGAGTTTTTTGTCAGATTCGACACATATGATTTTAGCGACAAACATTTTCAACTCAGGAACAGTTTACAGTCTACATCCTCTTTCTCTCCCTTCCTTGATGAGCTCAGTGTAATCAGATGCTTTAAAGCATGCAAACCTAGGAAAAGCTCAGGACCTGATCACATATGTAGTAAGATGCTGAGAGTTTGTGCAGAGCAACTTGGCCCTATTTTTAACTATATTTTTAACTTGTCTATCACACAGCAGAAAATGCCGGCATTATGGAAGCAGTCTACTGTGGTTCCTGTTGCCAAATGCAGTCTCCCCAAAGTTTTAAATGATTTCAGGCCTGTTGCTTTAACTTCTTTGGTCATGAAATCGTTTGAAAAATTGATTAAAGCAGAACTGCTGGACAAAACTGAGCACCTCCTGGACCCTCTCCAATTCGCTTATAGAAATGGGAGGGGTGTTCAAGACGCTACCATCACTTTAATGAACTTCTTATATAAACATCTAGAGGGAAACAGGAACCACGCTAGGCTGCTTTTTGTTGATTTCTCATCAGCCTTCAATACTATCCAGCCACATATGTTGGTTGAGAAACTGATTCACAATTTCAGTTTAGATCCAAGTATTGTCGGCTGGCTTCTTGATTTTCTCATCAACAGGACTCAGAGAGTAAAGGTGAACGGGAAATTGTCAAATGCCCGCATATCTTCTACCGGCTCCCCCCAAGGATGTGTTTTATCTCCATTATTATACATCCTATATACAAATGACTGTCGCAGCTTCCACAAAAACAGATATATCATCAAATTTGCTGACGATTCAGTTATTGTCAGCCTCCTTGATGACAGTGAAACTAGCCACGGTCCTGTTGTTGATGATTTTATCTTGTGGTGTGAAAATGCATTCCTACAACTTAACGTCACAAAAACAAAAGATATGTGCATAGATTTTAGACGATCCCCCCCTGCTCCCCGGAACAGCGTTGTCAAGGGTGAGGCTGTGGAGATTGTATCTAACTACAAATATCTAGGCACTGTGATTGACAATAATCTGAAATTTAACTGTAATACCGAAGCGCTGTGCAAGAAAGGCCAGCAGCGTCTTTTCTGTTTAAGGAAACTCGCCAGATTTCAAATTGATAAATCCCTGATGTCGCTGTTTTATTCTGCTTTTATTGAATCTGTTCTATCCTTTTCTATTATTTGTTGGTACGGCAATCTGGGGACCAGAGAGAAAAATGCCCTTGACAGGATTGTTAAGGTGGCAAGTAAGATTGTAGGAGTGCAGTTCACCAGTCTGAATCATATTTTTACCAGGCAGGTTCTTAAAAAAGCTGTGTCCATTCAGTCCCATAGTGACCATCCTCTCAGCTCAGAATATAACCTGTTACCTTCTGGCCAACGGCTGCGAGTTCCAACTGCCACAAAAAACAGATATAAAAATTCCTTCATCCCAGTCTCCATCAGAGCCTTAAACGACTCCTGTAGGAGGTAACTGCAAAGGCGTGTCTGTGAATTTAATCAAACAAATTGGATTTGGATCGTGTGTATGATTGTATATATTGTATGTGTATTATTGTATATTTACTCTGTGGGGTGGGAGTGTTGGCTCTGACTGACAAAATGTGGAACTGACTTGATGCAGACTTTATTTACAAAGGACAGATATTGTCTAAATCTCTCATAGTTAATTACCTGTGTGGCAAATGGATTATCCATTCTGGTCTGAAAGAATGGGATTTTGATTGACAGATGTGATTTGATACTGATACTGATCACGCCTGATCTCGTTAGATCTCGGAGAGACCTAGCCTGATCCATGGGTTCTCTCTAACTGGTATGCAAATCGCACATAGCACTTTGAATTGCACTTTATTAACTCTGTCCCCCACCCCTACCCCCATGCAAAAATACTTGTCTGACTGACGTATGCTCTTAGGTTTTTATTTTTATTTATCTGTGTGTTTTGTTTCTCATGCAAATGTACTTTTTGCAAATGTACTTTCTGCAATTTGTTTATAATGCCTGTGCCTGCGGCAACCCAATTTGCCCATATTGGGACATAATAAAGTTGAAGTGAAGTGAAGTGAAGTTCCACCTGGTGTAGTGTGTCAGAGTTAACGATGTTCGACGCCACGTCTGAGACGCCTCACGACGTCCCCACAGAAAGTCTCGCATGTTTGATTTTCTTCTCCTGTCACAGCCGTCACTTTGACCAATAGGAACACAGAGCGATCTGTTGCTGTGAAAACTGTAGGACAACAACAGCCCAGCCTTTCAGATATTTCCTGTTGGGACGTTAGCACACAGAGTAAATAGGAAACAGCAGAGGCACTTTATCAACCCGCTGAGTACTGCCATTAGCATCAAGCTAGCAAAGAATGTTCTTTCTTCATAATGGAGGATATAAAGGAATCAAACTCACGGATAGTGTCTGGGCCTTTACTCAGCACAGCTGCAGAGGCTACCAGCTGCATCTCAAACACACAACACCATTTATTTATTATTCCCTCTGTAATTATTTATATGTTTTTATCTGCTCATGTTTGCCTTGATAAAGTTAATGCATCGCGCCATCGTTTCAAACTCAACACCCTTATAACTTCAGCTGAGAGGATCCCTTAATTTTATAAAAACTCTTTTATTGTGAAACAGTTGCAGGAACTTCCTGTGGAGGATTCAGTGAACAGGCTGCAGTGAGAGTCTCTCTCCATGGGATATTTAAAAATAGCAGCTTTGTGCATTTAGTCCTTCTCAGGCAAGCTCAGGGGTTTAGTGTTGCTGTAGCCCACAGGAAGTGAGGATTAGAATATATGACCTTCACATAATCCGCTCCAAATTAATCTATATTTTTAAAGTCATTACTAAAAGTGTGTGTCATATAAAAACTAAAGTGATGGTCAAAGTTGTCACAGTGAAATTTAAGGTGTGCTGATGGATTCACGTCATCAACTCATGCATTGAGTAACATTACAAGTTAACGTTCCACCTTAAAAGTTGCCGGCAGTCGGCCCAGTGAATGAAGTTATTTTTTTCTCTTTCATTTTATAGTTGTAGTTTACTGATGTATGAACAGAGGTTACATAAAACCAGAGTGAGCGTCCTCTACTGACCAATCAGACTGCAGGGTTTCTAGCTCCACCTTTTAGTACCAGATCTGTGTGCTAGGTACCCCAACAGAGGGGGGACCAAACATGGGGACGCTAAGGAACGCTTCTGTTGGGACCATCCACAACTTTACACTGTGGAGACAGAAACTATGAACTGAACTGCTCAGTCAATTAAGTTGTTTTTCATACCACAAGTGTTGCTGGAGCTCTTTTGACATTGTCTAGTGTTTCCTCACTCTCCATGCACCTTGTGAATCAGTGAAGTTGTGCCAGAGACCACTTTCTATAACAGAAGTAAAGCTCAGGGTCTGATCCACCATCTGACTGCTGCTGTTTACTCCCACCGTGCATCCCACAATGCCAGGGCGTAGGGAAGTTATGGCAGGCCCCAGTGCACGCTATCATGAATGTGTTGTAATGGCACAAATAGAGACTTGACATTGGACATCACCAGCATACATATTACCCAGCAGTCACTGCTGCATATCTGACAAAAATATAAAAAAAATTCATCGTGCCATCGAAGAGTTTTTATCGTTTATGTAGAAAAAGTATATAATTGTGTTTTTGATGGTTCTGACAGTTCAGACAAATAAAAAGTAAAACCATGATGCAGTGTCCCTCTTTGAGGACATACACAGGAAGCGTCACCATTTTTAAAGAAGAAACATTCTTTTTTTTATCTTTCTTCTTTGAACACACGAAGATATTCAAGGTGGCAATCTGAATCACTTGCGCAACGCCCTCCATCCATGATGCATACCTGATGACAACAGTTCCACCCAAACACTGGTAGAAGTGCAGGCTGGTAGCACCAAGGTTCCATAAATCCTGAACCAAACAGGAATCAGAGCTGATCTGGTGGAGAAGGGGTAAAAGGGGCTGAAAAGGTTTCTGACTGACCTTTCTTGAGGCAAGGGAACCTAAAGAGTTTGACGAGGCCGAGGTCGTCTCCGGTCACCAGCACGGCGCTGCTGTAGTTGGCGTCCACAGAGTTCACGTTGGTGATGTTGGAGTATTTGGGCCAGATGCCGTTCACCTCCGGCCCGATGACTCCTGTCCACGTCATCCAGTGGATCCCCTTTGCCTCCTCTTTTGGAACCTGCTTCCCTGCTGCAGGACACAGGAGGAGGTCACAGGGTCAGAAGGTCAGGGAATTCTGGGAGATAAGTAAGTCCCTGGTCTAGACGTCCTGAAGTACAGTTGATCAGGGAGAATAAAGTCAGAGTGAACACTTTGCGCGTACCTGGCATCCTGTAGAAGAGCCGCTCTCCGGCGCCATCATTGGTCTGCAGGAAGCGGCTGTCGACCGACCAGTCCAGGTGGGTGATGAAGGAGGCGGAGCGGCTGCACTCACCCACCTTCTTGTAACGCTGGGCGACAGCATATACATCCACCAGCCCGTCGTTTGATCCCACCGCCAGGAAGGAACCATCCGGCGAAAACTTTAGCTCATGGATTACCTCCTTCCTGTCCTTGATGTGCACAACTTCTGTCATATCCCTGAATAGAAAAAGATTAATTACCTCACGTTCTTCAGCAATTTAAATGACTTTAATATGAGATTCTGATCAAACGTCAGTAAGTTTTCATGCTGTTGGTCCAATCAGAGGCTTCCAGGTCCTGAACTCAGGTAACAAGATGAAGGGATAAATTAGCCTCCTGGATTAGCTCCTGTCGCTAACCTCTCAGGCTGACCTGCCCGCTAACCAAAGAAGCTGTTTGGTTGGTCAATTAGAAAACGATCTTTCCTTTTGGAGTAGTAACAAACATTTATGGAGTAGTTCCCTATCAACGCCATCCTCCAGCCTCACATAGGTGAGATCACCTGACACGCAGCACGGTGAAGGATCCATCCTTCATGCCCAGAGCAAGCTGAGAGCCATCGTTGTTGAAGGAGACACTTCGGACGGATTCCTCCATGTTACAGCGAGCCAACAGAGTGTGGTCAGGAAGACTCCACAGCCTGAAGGACAGACAGACGGACAGGTGAGAGGGGACGTCAGTTGATCAGCTACCCTGGCGGTGGCGACAGTGGGTCAGACTGACCTGACAGAGCGGTCATCGCTCCCGGTGACAGCGACCGGTTGTTTGGGGTGCAGGTCAAGTGCCCACAGCTCACCCTCACTGTGACCCTGCATCAGCAGAACAGGTTTGTCCCGGTCTCGGACCATGACCTCGAAGATCTCGCTGTCCTGCGTACCTGCTAGGATACGGTCTGCCTTCCAGCAAACGCTGCGGATCGACAGACCTGAAACAGGAAACACATCTGACTGAAACAGGAAACACATCTGACTGAAACAGGAAACACATCTGACTCAAACATGAAACACATCTGACTCAAACATGAAACACATCTGACTCAAACATGAAACACATCTGACTCAAATAGGAAACACATCTGACTCAAACATGAAACACATCTGACTCAAACAGGAAACACACCTGACTGAAACAGGAAACACATCTGACTTTAACAGGAAACACATCTGACTCAAACAGGAAACACACCTGACTGAAACAGGAAACACATCTGACTTTAACAGGAAACACATCTGACTTTAACAGGAAACACACCTGACTCAAACAGGAAACACACCTGACTGAAACAGGAAACACATCTGACTTTAACAGGAAACACATCTGACTCAAACAGGAAACACATCTGACTCAAACAGGAAACACATCTGACTCAAATAGGAAACACACCTGACTGAAGCAGGAAACACACCTGACTCAAATAGGAAACACACCTGACTGAAACAGGAAACACACCTGACTTTAACAGGAAACACATCTGACGAAAACAGGAAACACATCTGACTCAAACAGGAAACACATCTGACTCAAACAGGAAACACATCTGACTCAAACAGGAAACACATCTGACTCAAATAGGAAACACACCTGACTGAAGCAGGAAACACACCTGACTCAAATAGGAAACACACCTGACTGAAACAGGAAACACACCTGACTTTAACAGGAAACACATCTGACTCAAACAGGAAACACACCTGACTTAAACAGGAAACACACCTGACTTTAACAGGAAACACATCTGACTCAAACAGGAAACACACCTGACTTAAACAGGAAACACACCTGACTTTAACAGGAAACACATCTGACTCAAACAGGAAACACACCTGACTTTAACAGGAAACACATCTGACTTTAACAGGAAACACACCTGACTTTAACAGGAAACACATCTGACTCAAACAGGAAACACACCTGACTTAAACAGGAAACACATCTGACTTTAACAGGAAACACATCTGACTCAAACAGGAAACACATCTGACTTAAACAGGTTCAGGCCCTGTCTGTACGCATCCAGATATTTTTGTAAACGGATAGTTTTCCCTCCATTATAAAAATATCTCCGTCTACACTTGAACGCTAAACAACAAACGTTTACATGTGTTCACACAGACAGTGTTGCTGCTGCTGTGACTTGTGTATTTCCATGACTGAAAGTCGGTAATCCACAGATTTATGGAGCCGTGCAGCCGCTACATCATCAACAACATAGTCCTGCATATTAAACAGATAAACAGTAACTGGAGTTTTGATAAATCTTCACCCCAGAGGGCGTTTTAAAAAATAGTAGCCGAGAGGCCCAAACTTCAAGGAAAATATCGGGACACGTACAGACGGAGCCTCAGACTGCACCGATACATAAACAAAGGTGTCATCTAATAATCAAACCTCAGTTTTACATGTTCACCACCTCATTTTTAATCATTTGCAAAGTGAACTACACATTCTGAATTTGTCAAACATTCGACAGGTTGATCCTGTGACTGATTCTTTTTAACGGCCCCACTCCTATCGGTTCATACTGGTTCTGTGTAGCGTGATGTTCACACCTTTGTATCCCTGCTCCGCCTCCCTCAGGTCGATCTTTGTGATGGGTTTGAAGTCGACGTCCCACAGTCTGATGCAGCCATCTCGTCCTCCCGTGGCGAATCCCTCCTCACAGGCGTGCATGCTGAAGATCCCCGCCTGAACGACACGTTACACACAAAGAACATTTTCCCATCAGCCCTTCATGTCTGGAAGTGACAAATTCTGAATGACTGATCTCCACTGTGACATAAACATCAGCAGCGCTGCAGCCACAGACAGACAGAGACAGAGACAGAGACAGAGACAGAGACAGAGTCAAAGACAGAGACAGAGACAGAGACAAAGACAGAGACAGAGACAGAGACAAAGACAGAGACAGAGACAGAGACAAAGACAGAGACAGAGACAGAGACAGAGACAGAGACAGAGACAGAGACAGAGTCAAAGACAAAGACAGAGACAGAGTCAAAGACAGAGACAGAGACAGAGTCAAAGACAGAGACAGAGACAGAGACAGAGACAGAGACAGAGACAGAGACAGAGACAGAGACAGAGACAGAGACAGAGACAGAGACAGAGACAGAGACAGAGACAGAGACAGAGACAGAGACAGAGACAGAGACAGAGACAGAGACAGAGACAGAGACAGAGACAGAGACAGAGACAGAGACAGAGACAGAGACAGAGACAGAGACAGAGACAGAGACAGAGACAGAGACAGAGACAGAGACAGAGACAGAGACAGAGACAGAGACAGAGACAGAGACAGAGACAGAGACAGAGACAGAGACAGAGACAGAGACAGAGACAGAGACAGAGACAGAGACAGAGACAAAGACAAAGACAGAGACAGAGACAAAGACAGAGACAGAGACAGAGTCAAAGACAAAGACAGAGACAGAGTCAAAGACAGAGACAGAGACAAAGACAGAGACAGAGACAGAGACAAAGACAGAGACAGAGACAGAGACAAAGACAGAGACAGAGACAGAGACAGAGACAGAGACAGAGACAGAGACAGAGACAGAGACAGAGACAGAGACAGAGACAGAGACAGAGACAGAGACAGAGACAGAGACAGAGACAGAGACAGAGACAGAGACAGAGACAGAGACAGAGACAGAGACAGAGACAGAGACAGAGACAGAGACAGAGACAGAGACAGAGACAGAGACAGAGACAGAGACAGAGACAGAGACAGAGACAGAGACAGAGACAGAGACAGAGACAGAGACAGAGACAGAGACAGAGACAGAGACAGAGACAAAGACAGAGACAGAGACAAAGACAGAGACAGAGACAGAGACAGAGACAAAGACAAAGACAGAGACAGAGTCAAAGACAGAGACAGAGACAGAGTCAAAGACAGAGACAGAGTCAAAGACAGAGACAGAGACAGAGACAGAGTCAAAGACAAAGACAGAGACAGAGTCAAAGACAGAGACAGAGACAGAGTCAAAGACAGAGACAGAGTCAAAGACAGAGACAGAGTCAAAGACAGAGACAGAGACATTCCCTGTTAAAGGGTTTTTTGGGGAGTTTTTCCTGATCAGCTGTGAGGGTCATAAGGACAGAGGGATGTCGTATGCTGTAAAGCCCTGTGAGGCAAATTGTGATTTGTGATATTGGGCTTTATACATAAAATTGATTGACTTATTGATTGATCACACTGACTGTGGATAAACACCACACACATACACACACACACACACACACACACACAAGGGGAAACACTGCAGGTGAACAGAGCAAAACTTTTAACTAACAGATATCACCATCAGACGTCCCCTGTTGATGATCACTCATATTAGGTGAGAAAATGTGGATGTATCGATATCAGTTATTGCTCAATTGAGTTGTTACATATCTGCGAAAATACCAATATGGTGCCTCTTTAATGTTTACATATGCAAATTAGGCATTATCTGATTAAATATATAGTTTTGCATAAATCAACCTGAATATATTTTGTAAATTTTCTTTCCACTGGTCTGCAGTGTCTCTTGTTCACCTCAAGATGTTTCCAGTCTGATCACAGGACCGTGCAGACTGACTGCAGCATCTCTGATCTACATCATTTAGGGTCTATAGACCCTTTTACTGTTAGTAAACAGTGTGATGTTTGTTGGTGGGCGGGGCTTAGCTGGAGGCAAAACAGTTCTCCACAGACATTAGCTAGCGCTAGCTAACAAGTTGTGTTGTCTTGTTTTAGACGATGGAGGAAGATGATGTGAGTGGTGCGTTCAGAAACACTCATTGTGAGTGTGGGAGCGCACTCTGACACAAACTGGAGCGTTGATAAATTGGGAGCGCTGTCTGAATGTAGCGTTGGGTTATCCAGAGCAGCGCACTCTCAGAGTGGCAGAGCGCACTCTGGACACTCTGTCTGTGGAGACGGAGCAGCAGAGCGCCGAGCGGAGTGAATGTGTGATTAACTTAACCGTTGGTTCATTCATGTAGAAATATAACGCTGCGTTTCTTCCACCAACAGGGCTCTCATTTTAGTGTAGAGCGTCAGACTGAATTTACCAACGCACCATGTCAGGTCACTCACTCTCCGGGACCGCCAGTGTTACTTGAATAAGTAAACACTGACCAACGGGACCAGACTGGCCGACCCGTATGCTCTCACTCAGTGGATGGATGATGTCACAGGAAGCCAATCTTACAAAGGAGGACCACACTTGTTTGTTTTGCTATGGAAGCTAACGTTAGCTAATGTGCTAAAAAGTTAGCGTTGCAGAGAAATCCAATCTTCCTCTTAATCCCTCCCCAGTTTCTGATGAGGTGGACATGATAACCCTTAATACACATAACCTTATTCATCCCTACAACAGGAAATACTTTTTCCCTAACCTGATATGAAGTGTGCGCTGCACATGTGAGCATTTTTGATGATGGCCTCCGTCCAGTCCTTTGGTCTTATCACATTTAACCATAGTTGTCTTTGTTTTTGTTGACGGGCAGTGGCGGCTGGTTTTGAGCCATGACTCCTTCTATTCTGGCTCCCAATAACACAACAAGACAAACACATTTTAACACTCCTGTGGAGCCTACAGCCCTGTGGGGGAGAGGCAGCTGCACCTCCAGCTGATAACATCATGTCATCATCAATCGACGTACCCCGTGTGCAGCCTGTACGGTCCGAATCAGAGTGATTCCTCTCCACACATAAACGTCTCCGTTCAGAGCTCCAGAGTAGGTCAGCTCATCTTTGGCTGCAGAAACACACAGGATGGTCTGCAGGTCGCCCGTCTTCCCAAAGATCCCTCGCTTCGGGGTCAGAGCATTCCCACACAGCGTCCAGAACTACAGACACAACCAGTGAGACGGTACATGTGTGATACTCAACAGTCGGACACAGGAAACAATCTTTAGACCAAACATCAGCTTAGCAGGAAGTGAAAGATCAAACTCTGTCTCACCTTGATGTGTTTGACTCCACAGCTGACCAGACGGCTGGACTGAAACGGATCCCAGGCCACGTCAAAGATCTGCAGAATACCAAGAAAGACAACTTACAGCGCCTTTCAAAACCAGACCTACCAGAGTTCCCAGAATTCAATTCCCACTGACAGACTGACTGTTCCCTGGTGACTCAGAGGAAACAGATGTAAACAGTGACGAACAAACGTCAGTGATTATTGAATGCCGTTTCTTGTGTTTCTGCAACAAACAGAGTCGATGTGAATGACTTAAGAGCCGTACTCTGTCTGAGTGTCCGGTTGCCGTGGCGAGGACTCGTCCTCTCCTCCAGTCCCAAACACACAGCGTGTTCTTGGCGTCCAGACCGACTGACACCAGCCGCTACGAAAACACAGACCAGAAACAAACACATGAGAATCAAATGAGTCATTTAGTTTGTTTAGTTTGATCCACGGGTGAGGCTCCGCCCACCACAGACACTCAGACCACAGGATTGGACAATGCTATCACTTACAGACTGACTGGCGGGTCATTCAGTCAGTACATGTGTTGGAGTTCCTCTGAGCTGGATCCTGGGGCCCCGAGTGTTCCCGACATATAGAGTTCACGTGGAGATATTTTTGTGATATACGGGGCGAGAGCTAATTCTTAAAGATTAGCATTTTCAACCACACACACACACACACACACACACACACACACACACACACACACTTTTCCTCGTCCATTTATAATCCTTCACAGGGTCTGACGGCTTGTCTGCCCAAATCTCAGGTGACCCTGTTCACAGTACACGTCATGTCATACAAACGTAGTTGGCAACTCAACTCACAAATTTAATTTTCAGCTCAAGGATGAAAACATGATGGAATAAAAACAGCTTTTAAAACCAAAAAAGAAAAAAATAAAGTCTGTAAAAATAATCTGAGAAGCTCTCTCGATCATTACTAAAACACTTTTGAGATGGACCCTGCCACAGTGACATCATCATCATCATGAGGGGGCGTGGTCTGACCTGTCCGTCAGAGTCGAAGGCCAAACAGGCCACTCCATGTGTGTGGATGTCCCTCAGGATGGACACAGTCTGCATGGCGTACGTGTCCCAGATACAGATGAACGGGTCTTTGCCCACCTGACCCGTCGCCACCTGGATCTTATCTGGATGGATCGCCAGACTGACAGACAGACAGACAGAAAGAGACAGAAAGAGACAGAAAGAGGGAGATACTTAATACACAGACCATCAGTGTAAGCTCCTCTTAGCGCCCTCTACAGGCTGCACAATCCATTACAAACATCATCCTGTAACTTTATAGAAGGAGCAGGACTCCTTTACACTGACAGGAGTCAGCTCCTCGTTTCCACCGAGCAGTTCAGTTCAGTTCAGTTCAGTGTTTCTGTCTCCACAGTGTAAAGTTGTGGATGGTCCCAACAGAAGCGTTCCTCAGCGTCCCCATGTTTGGTCCCCCCTCTGTTGGGGTACCTAGCACACAGATCTGGTACTAAAAGGTGGAGCTAGAAACCCTGCAGTCTGATTGGTCAGTAGAGGAAGGTCACTCTGGTTTTATGTAACCTCTGTTCATACATCAGTAAACTACAACTATAAAATGAAAGAGAAAAAAATTACTTCATTCACTGGGCCGACTGCCGGCAACTTTTAAGGTGGAACGTTAACTTGTAATGTTACTCAATGTATGAGTTGATGACGTTAGTTTAGTTTAGTTTAGATTAGTTTAGTTTATTTATTCATTTGACAAAAAAAAAACACTAAAATAAAAATAACACAAAAGTTCCCATATTTTGAATGAAAGGGAACAGAAAGAAGAATAATCTTATTAAATCTACCCCTCTGTCAAACAACAAACAAACAAACAACAAAATAAATAAAATAACAACAGGCTCACACAGCCACTCACATTGCTTACTTAGTTGCTGACTTACAATTCAATTTTTAACATTCAAAGGTCACATATACTTGCAAAGATATCCACACACACACACACACACACACACACACACACACACATATGTTTTTTAACCCTGTCATGACAACAGGTATATCAATCAAACTTAACTAACATAGTTCAGTATATTTCCTTAGCATACTGGTTTTAGTCACTCTTTAAATGTAATGTTGGATTTAGATTCTTTGGTTACTTTGTTCAGACTGTTCCATAAACTGACTCCTTCACTTTAGTCCTGAATCTCCGCTTTTTAAAGATCTCTGTTCCTCTTAAGTTATAGTGGCTCTCTGTTTTTTCAGATCTTTTCTGGATGTTAATTGGCAACGTGTTTTTATGAGCTTTATACATAACTTGTAAAATACTGTAGTCTGCTAATTTGTGAAATTTCATCAATTTTAACTGAAGGAATAATGGACCTGTTGGATCTCTATATCGTTTCTACTGATTATTCTTATGTCTCTTTTTTGTAAAATGAAAATTGACTGAGTATATGTCTTACAAGCATTTCCCCACACTTGAACACAGTAAGTCAGATATGGAACAGTCATAGTGTTATATAAAATGAGCAATGCTTTGTTATCTGACGAATCCTTAACTTTGTGTAATACACCAATTGTTTTGTTTCACCTTTATATTATCTATATGTGATTTCCAGTTCAAATTCTCATCCGCCATGACACCCCAAAAACGTAGTTTCCCTCACTCTATTAATCATTAATATTAATCATGTTAATTTGTTTTTATATTGCTTATACATATCTTCTGCCTCCTTTGTCCTTAGCTTTAAGAAACATCTATACAAATGAGTTTTCTTCTTGCAGGCACTTGGCAGTGCTTTAGTCATCCATGGTTTGTCGACAGCATTTTTCTTGGCAATACTCAGTTTTTTTTTCATACAAATCAATCAATAATGTCATGAATGGATCATAAGCTATATTTACGTCATTTACATACACTCCATCCCAATTCTGTTTTTCTAAGTCTTCTTTCAGTGGCTCCAATGCTTCTTTTGCTTCTTATTCATTTTCCTGTGATGATTTCCTTGGTATTATATTGATCATTTTTATAAACTGTAAAAACAGGTAAATGATCACTTGCATCAGTTATCAAGATCCCACTCTCTACTTTTCCATCTACTGCATTTGTAAAAATATTATCAATAGTAGCTGCACTCTGTGCTGTGATTCTTGTTGGTTTATATATCCTTGGAAACAGATTCAAACTATACATTGAATTTATGAATTCACTAGATGTGGTTTCAAGATCAATGTTAAAGTCTCCACATAAAAAAACTCTGTTATTTTGGCTGTAAAGGTCTCTACACAGGAACCTGGTGATCCGTTAACACAACTGATTATAGCACTTTAAGCTTTTTCATTAATAATTCCACTTTGATAATTCCCATTATATTGTCTACAGTTGTCATATTCCCAATGACCTTACATTTCAATGTTGAGCTGATGTACACAGCTACGCCTCCACCTTTTTTATTCCTTCTATTTCTATTAAAAAACCCGCCATCCATAAAGGAGTGCTGTGTTTACATGGCAACTCGCGCGAGACTCGAGAACTAGCACCACCACTAGCCATCAGCTAGTCTCGCGCGAGTTGCCATGTAAACACAGCACTCCTGCAGGCTGACTGACCACGGTGAGAAATGATGCAATAAAAGTGGAGTAAATTACGTCTTTTCAAGTCAGCGTTGCATGCTGCGGCTTCAGGGCACTTGGATTACGACGGACGAGCCGTTCTGACGTTTCTGAAATGCATTAGTGGAGTTTTATTACATTTTCAAAATGTCGCTGTTATCCTCCGATACCCCGAACGAGTTCTGTGGATTGAAAAACTACGCTGGACTTCTTGTCGGCACGAGGGTCAGTAAGTACTGTCTGTATTTTCATTCTAAAGTGGCCATTTCCTTTAATGTCCAATCACTGTTGTGGCTCCGCCCACTCACCCCCTCACACTGTTGTAACTGGAGCAGGGGAAAGTGACGCTCGCCTCACACAGAAAAGAAGCAGAACAAACAAACATAGAGAGCCATGGCAAGTGGAAGCAGAAGAGCTGAGAGACAGAAGTTTGAAGAAGCACCGGCTTCATACAAATCTCTGGTGTGGGATCATTTCTGTTTCACTGTTGCATAAAACGACGAGTGAAAACTGTTAACAGAAATTTCACTGTCTGCAAACGATACCCCCCCCCCCCCCCATCCCTTGTCCTTTTATTAAACAAACTAAATAACTTTATATTATTTATCTTATTTTTGCATTTTCCTGAATGACAATTATACCCGAGCCGGTCTATGCAGCAGAGCCTGTGCTGCGTTGAATAGGCTGTAGCACAACACAGCAGCATGTCAAGTGCAAAGTCAAGCAAAATAAAGAGATCATTTTGGGAGAAAAGAAACTGTTCTCTTTACGCACAAAACACGTACCGAAACCGTGGCCCAAAAACCGAGGTACGGGCCGTACCGCGGGCTTTTTAATAATTAAAAAAGAAAAGATCTCTGTCATCATTTCCAATATTCACACGCTGTTCTTATCCAACGACAGATTCTGCTTCAGTCCATATTTGTTGGCGTGTAGCCTGAAAAACAACATGTTCACTGAGGTTAAAAAAACTTCTTGTCTTTTGCACATTGTGTAAACGAGTGAGAGGGTGTAACAGCAGCATACATCACATTCACACAGCCATAATAATGGTATCATCTATAGTGATAATCATTAAATATGGGGAGCTCCCTCAGTAACTCCACTGCTCCTCCTGGTGGACAGACTGACCATTGCAACTGGTTTCTACAAATACCAGTCCATTAGACCTGAGGGAGCTTCTTGGATTAAAGGCCAAACATCTTCACGAAACTCAAGCAGGTCCAGCTGCCTACGCTGCAGCACTTAGGATCACCATGACCTGGACGACTGAGAATCTTCACCGACACATTGGTTATTTCGCCAACGCTCCACAGCGCCGTGCACACGCTCAGAAGAACCCACAATACCAGTTTCTATAAATGTCCCGTCTGACAATCTGTGCTCGTGTCAAACGGCTTTAAATCATGTTTCTGTCACTTGACTTTCAGCCGACCGTTCGGCTCACCATGTTCTTAACTTCCTGTCAAAACTGTAGCCTCATCAGCAGGCGGCGAAACATCAGAGTGACCTCACAGAGACAGACAAGCTGTCCCTGTCCTCATGTCTCTGTTGTCATGTCCCTGTCCTCATGTCTCTGTCCTCCTGTCTCTGTTGTCATGTCCCTGTCCTCCTGTCCCTGTCCCTGTCCTCATGTCCCTGTCCTCATGTCTCTGTTGTCATGTCTCTGTCCTCATGTCCCTGTCCTCATGTCCCTGTGTCTGTCCTCATGTCTCTGTCCTCCTGTCTCTGTCCTCCTGTCTCTGTCCTCATGTCTCTGTCCTCATGTCCCTGTCCTCATGTCCCTGTCTCTGTCCTCATGTCTCTGTCCTCCTGTCCCTGTGTCCCCTCACACAGAATGTCTCATTCAAAGCGAGAGGACAGATGGAGACAGTGGACATAGGACAAGGACGTGTCAGGACCGAGCAGAGGATGATGGGAAGGACTCAGCAGCTTCATCAGCTCGTCATCATCGTCAGCATTTTTCTTCCAGCTGTCAGGTCCCATCAGGCCGTGCGTCTCAAACACCGACCCCTACTTCCTGTCTGCGTCCCTCTCAGCCAGCGGCGTGGTCAGCGGTTAAAGGAGCGTCTAATTGATGAACCGGCGTTCGATCCGAGACGAAGACAGCGTTTACAGTTTGTCTGAAAGACTGTGCTGAGACAGACCGTCCTTCATGAACCAACGTCTTTATCATTAAAGAATAAAGATTAAATTATTCAATGAAAAATAAACCTCGTTATAACGTCGACAGCTGTCACTGTCACCACCTGACTCAATGTGATTGGACGTAACAGTCAGCCAATAGCCATCCATCACAGTCAGTTCAGGAAGCTTCACGGAGTCACATGATCGCCATGTACGCTGTAAAAAATATCCTAATTTTACAGAAATAACTTAAAGTTTTTACAGTGGTTTTATGTTGTTTTTTTAATTGCAACAAAACTGTAATATCACAAACACCATCTGTGAATTAACCAAAGTGTTGTTTGAAGTTTTATGTCGATAATAACAAATTAATTTATTTCTCTTTTTTGAACAAAAACAATTCTACAATTTTTATACAGTATTCTCTGAAAGATCACACTTTTTTTTTTTTCACAAGGTCAATCTAGCCGTCAATGCTTCATCGTTAGTTTCCGTGTCTGAGGATCATTTCCTTTATTAACTGACTGACTGTTCTGTGAATAACAAAAATCTAATTTCTTATTTTGTCCAGAATTATTAGATGTTGAGTTTATTATCATAGAAATGTATTAAACTGGGAGAAAAAAAATGAAATCAATTTTTTGTATTTTTGCTTAAAGCTCCAGGATGTCAGATTTAAATCTAATCAGTGTGTTTTCTTCAACGAGCTGAGAATCCGAATGGTTGTGTTCTCGTTAAGGTCAGAATGAGCTGTTTATATCTGCACAGGGAGCAGGTCCTCGTCTACAGAGATCACCATGATGATGCACACTGAGAAAAAAAAAGCCATCCTTTCATGTTGGCGTGATACGCAGCCAGGCGCTGTTGTTGTTTAATGGCTCTCAGAGGCATCAGGAGAAAAACGCAGCCGAACAACTTAAGTTAAGGGGCCGAAATCCCGAGTGGTGTGGATGGGTCCAACAACCACCGACTTTCACCCAGGAGGCCGGTGTTCACTTCCTGTAAGATTGTAAAGACAAACCCTGTTCTTTTTTCCTAAACCCAACCACGTATGTGTGGCGGCTAAACGTAACCACGTGTGTGTGTCAGCTAAACGTAACCACGTGTGTGTGTGTGTCGGCTAAACGTAACCACATGTGTGGCAGCTAAACGTAACCACGTGTGTGTGTCGGCTAAACGTAACCACGTGTGTGTGTCGGCTAAACGTAACCACATGTGTGGCGGCTAAACGTAACCACGTGTGTGTGTTGGCTAAACATAACCATGTGTGTGTGTTAGCTAAACGTAACCACGTGTGTGTGTCGGCTAAATGTGTCCGTGTGTGTGTCGGCTAAATGTATCCACGTGTGTGTGTTGGCTAAACATAACCATGTGTGTGTGTTAGCTAAACGTGACCACGTGTGTGCGTCGGCTAAATGTAACCACATGTGTGTCAGCTAAACGTAACCACGTGTGTGTGTCGGCTAAATGTATCCACGTGTGTGTGTTGGCTAAACGTAACCACGTGTGTGTGTTGGCTAAATGTAACCGTGTGTGTGTTAGCTAAACGTGACCACGTGTGTGTGTCGGCTAAATGTATCCACGTGTGTGTGTTGGCTAAACGTAACCACGTGTGTGTGTTAGCTAAACGTTAAAACAGACAATGCATGTAACAGGCTGAAGTTGACATGGCGTCCCAGAACGTCAACAACCAACACACCTTGGACGTCATACGTGGACGTGGAAAGTCCATGACCAAACGTGGACATGTGACGAGGTCACAGTGAGGATGTGTCGGCAGAGCGCTGGCTGGTTTCTAATGTAGTGAGTGGAGGTGGGTGGGGCCAATCTGAGGTCAATGATGGAGGCTCATTTAAAAGCGGAGATGATGCGTGCAGTGGGAGGAGGTCCAGATTCAAACACATATCGTTTGAAACATCCTTTAAAAAAGAGGAAGTTACTGACATGAATCCAAGAAGCTTTCTCGCACCATTAGAAACGAGTCCTGACATCATCATCATCAGGTACGATCTCACCTGTGGAGTGTCAGTCAGCTCACCTGAACACCTCCAGGTTTGTTCATTACTGCAAACATCTGGATGTTGATTATGTGGTGTAATGAGGACGCCTCCTGGAGGAGTCTGTGCGGTATGTGAGAGCACATAAAGAGCGGACTGCTCCTTTAACAGAGATGAAACGTAAGCCGCAGAACTGGGTCACACTGACACCTGCAGGTGAGCCTGCAGCAACATCTGGAACATCTGTCACAGCATGTGTGTGTGTGTGTGTGTGTGTGTGTGTGTGTGTGTGTGTGTGAGTGAGTGAGCACCACAGGAGGACCACATCACAGCTTCATCTGTTGTTTCCATGGAAACACACTCCTGCTCATCAATCAGCCATGTGATACATCAACAGTTAGATTTTAATATCACCATTAGACAGGAAACTTTACCTGAGGTCAGGTGATCTCTGAATACACACCGCTCTATAAACTGAGGGGAACTCTTAAATCTCACATCAGATCCTGATGAATGACTGAAGCGTAAAATCTTTACTGATGAACACTGTATAATTAGTTGAGAACAAAATGACGTAACAACAGTCACAACGGATGCCTGCCTGTATGACCTCCTGACAATAGCTGGACTCCTGATGAGTCGGAGGATGGATCTCCTCCCAGACCTGGATCAGGGCATCAGTGAGCTCCTGGACTGTCTGTGGTGGACGCATCAATACATAACGTCCCATAGGTGCTCAGCTGGATTTAGGTCAGAGGAACGAGAGGGCCAGTCAATGACATCACTGCCTTCATCATCCAGGAACTGCCTACACACTCTGGACACATGAGGCTGGGTCCTGCACCAGGAGGAACCCAGGGCCCTCTGCACCAGGAGGAACCCAGGGCCCACTGCACCAGGAGGAACCCAGGGCCCTCTGCACCAGGAGGAACCCAGGGCCCTCTGCACCAGGAGGAACCCAGGGCCCTCTGCACCAGGAGGAACCCAGGGCCCTCTGCACCAGGAGGAACCCAGGGCCCTCTGCACCAGGAGGAACCCAGGGCCCTCTGCACCAGGAGGAACCCAGGGCCCTCTGCACCAGGAGGAACCCAGGGCCCTCTGCACCAGGAGGAACCCAGGGCCCTCTGCACCAGGAGGAACCCAGGGCCCTCTGCACCAGGAGGAACCCAGGGCCCTCTGCACCAGGAGGAACCCAGGGCCCTCTGCACCAGGAGGAACCCAGGGCCCTCTGCACCAGGAGGAACCCAGGGCCCTCTGCACCAGGAGGAACCCAGGGCCCTCTGCACCAGGAGGAACCCAGGGCCCTCTGCACCAGGAGGAACCCAGGGCCCTCTGCACCAGGAGGAACCCAGGGCCCTCTGCACCAGGAGGAACCCAGGGCCCTCTGCACCAGGAGGAACCCAGGGCCCTCTGCACCAGGAGGAACCCAGGGCCCTCTGCACCAGGAGGAACCCAGGGCCCACTGCACCAGGAGGAACCCAGGGCCCTCTGCACCAGGAGGAACCCAGGGCCCTCTGCACCAGGAGGAACCCAGGGCCCACTGCACCAGGAGGAACCCAGGGCCCTCTGCACCAGGAGGAACCCAGGGCCCTCTGCACCAGCGCAAGGTCTGAGGATTTCATCCTGGTACCTAACAGCAGTCAGGGTACTGTTGGCCATGACATGGAGGTCTGTGTGACCCTCCAAGGATCTGCCTCCCCAGACCATCACTGACCCACCACCTAACCAGTCATGCTAGATGATGTCACAGGCAGCGTAACGTTCACCACGGAGTCTCCAGACTCTTTCACGCCTGTCACATGTGCTCAGTGTGAATCTGCTCTCATCTGTGAAGAGAACGGGGCGCCAATGGTGGACCTGCCAGTCCTGGTGTTCTCTGGTGAATGATGGAGCTGCACGGTGCTGGACTGTGAGCACAGGTCCCACTAGAGGACGTGGGGCCCTCATGCCACCCTCATGGAGTCTGTTTCTGACAGTGTGGTCAGAAACATGCACACCAGTAGCCTGCTGGAGGTCATGTTGTAGGGCTCTGGCAGTGCTCCTCCTGTTCCTCCTCACACAAAGGAGCAGATAGTGGTCCTGCTGCTGGGTTGATGCCCTTCTACGGCCCTGTGCAGCTCTCCTGGTGTCTGGTATCAACCTGATTGGGCTGCTTCACAATCACTGGACTGATCTCACTGAAGTTTAACTGTTTTGAAAGCAGACAATGGCGGACAGTCTGAGGAAACTCCCCACCAGATCAGCAAACTTTCTGTTGCTGCTGTTACACGGATTAGACCCCGCCCACTGTGAACCCCAGAGCTGTGATTTGTCACGGCTGAATTTAAGATGCTACAGCCACTGCTGTGACCTCTGTTTCCATCTCGTAGCAGCGAGGAGAGGAGGACTGACTGCAGAGCGGCTAGCTGCTAATGTTTTATGTAATTTATGGTCTGATAAACAGAGACAGAGACACAGCAGACGAGGAGCGAACCAACGAGCTGTGTTCAGCTGTACATTGGAAAACGATTTTGGCAGCTGCCACAGATAAATCAGTGAATGGAAACATTGCTAAACACATGCTAACGTTATTAGCACAAGCCTATGGCATTTTACATTGTATAAATTAGCCTAGCAGCTAGCAGAGATTTTCTCTGCTCATATTTCAGCCAGGATAAATCACACACAGTGTGTGGAGGCTTTATTGTCTTCACAATTTATTGTTTCTTATCTGTAAAGTTAAAGTAAATCAAAGCTTTGTTTCCACTGAGGGAAATGGTTTCAGCTTACAGAGACAGACAGGAGGTCTGCGTCACTGTGACGTGGAGTCACATCTCTGGGGAGTTGCACGTCAGGCTGCGGCGTAGGGTACGGTGTTGACGCAGAGCCTACAATGTAGGTACAGCATAGATTTGACGCACAAGTATAAATTCCACCAAACGGCAGACCACAGCTGGTGATTGTTGGAACGGCGGACTAACGAACTAAACTACTAACAAGGTTTGGGTGAGTTTTATTTTGTTTCTGTTGAGTTTGAATGAGGTGCGTTTAACCGTGAGAACACTTTTAAAGTAAAGCAACCAGCTGTGAAGCCTTTCAGAGTTTTCTAAAATAAGAATGACTGAGTTATGTCAACATGTTTTTCTTTGTTTGTAAAACTGAACACAACGATGGAGATCTCCTCGTGTATTTATGGACTCAGCTTTGCTCACAATCCTCAGACGGACGAAACTTTTCTTCGATGGACCCATTTCTGCCGCTGGAGGGTTTTTTTTTCTGTCTTTAGTGTAAAAACCAGTTTAGGTTTCTGATCGTTGCAATAGGCCATGAAGGTCGGCACGCCAGTCTTGATTCATATAAAAACACCCCCTGACTCACACCCACCCACCCCTCCTCACCTGATGATGTCATCGTTGTGCCCCAGGTAGAACTTCTGGGTGTGCTCTCGGGTGTTGTAGACCACGCCCACCCCGGCCACGAAGTACACCACCTCTTTCCCTGCGGTGTAGTAGAGGTTGTTTCGACACTGGTGACCTCTGTATCCGTGGATCCACTCCAGCCTCAGCTGGCAGCGCGGCGCCGTCTTATCCGACATGTTGGCTTAAAACTGAAAACTCAACATCAAGTTAAAAATACGAAGAAACCAGGAAGTCTGACGAGCTGTGAGCAGGTCCAAAGCATCTGCTGTGAAGAATCTCTCTGGACGAACACAAAAACACGTGTGTGCATCAGAGTCTGCTGCTGGTCCTAAGGCTGCTGGGAGCTGTAGTCCATCACTGGAGTCTGACATCCAACTGCACTTCCCATAATTCCAACCTGCACCACAAATCAACATCCAAACAAAAATAATTTCAAAGTGCAGAAATGTTTTTCAAACTAACTTTTTTTTTTAATTTTCTTTTTTAAATTTTAAACTACCACAAATTATTCTCCCCCAAAAATAAATCAGTTTCAGAAATGTGCTCACAATGTTTTGTAAGGTCATAAGGTTGTTGCTGTTTGGTTTCACTGCATCTGATTGTTCTAACAATTTCCTAAAATTTTAGATTATTGTAAATTACAACAACCATTTTTTTTCCCCAACTATCACAAATTACACCAATAAAAAAATGTAGGCAGCAGAAACGTTCTCAGAGTATTTTTGTTAGGTTATGAGAATGTTCTTCTGATTTTGGAGTAACAGTTTCATACAATTTCCCCAAATTTGAAATTACTACCACAAATTATTTTCCCAATAAAATAAATTAGGTTTCAGAAACGTTCTCACAATATTTTTGTAAGGTTCTGAAATTGGCGCTGTTTGGTTTCATAGTAACTTTTTTATTTATTTTGTATTACAATTTTCTAAAATATTTAACTACCACAAATTTTATCTCAATAAAAATAATTTTGGTTGCAGAAATGTTCACTGAATATTTTTGTAAGGTTGTGAGTTGGTTTGTTTGGTTTCAGAGCAACATTTTTGTAAAATTTGTAAAATTTTCTAAAATTTTAAACTACTGCAAATTATCCTCCCACTAAAATAAATCAGTTGTAGGTTATGAAATTGTCGCTGTTTGGTTTCACAGGATCTTTTTATTTTGTTATTTTTTAATAATTTCTTAAAATTCTAAACTACTGTAAATTACAACGATCATTTTACCAACTACCACAAATTAAACAAATAAATAAAAATGCAGAAACGTTCTCTGAATGTTTTTGTAAGGTTGAGAGTTTGTTTGGTTTCAGAGCAACATTTTTGTAAAGTTTTAGAAAATTTTAAACCTGCAATTTACAACAACCTTTTTTTCTTACCACAAATTATCCTCCCAATAAAATAAATTAAGTTGAAGAAACGTTCTCAATAAGCACGTAAATTAAGGGTTTCTGCAGATGTTCTGAAATCTGATGGTTGTTGATGTTTCTGCACAGTTTTATTAATGTATTCTTTAATAACTCATCTTCAGGGTTCCCGTGGTTCCTCCAGCTGGCAGCACTTACGGGAACATTTTTAATGACAGACACGTTGTGCACGAACCTTTTGGGAACGTTGCTCCAACTAATGACCCAAACCGGAACATTCCCAGGATGTTCTCTGAAGGTAGAGGAAGGTGTTGGTGTTTGCTGAGAAGGTCACTGTGGGAGAGAAATAGAAACCGTGTTGGGAGCGCATGTCAGGATATCGACCCAGCCTTCAGCGGGACCATGAGGACTACACTGTCCGTCCTTCTGACCGATGTTCCGGTCGCACCGGGGACAAATTAACCGTCACTTCATTTAACGGAATCCACAAACGGAGCGTCTGAAGGCGGATATGATAGAAAATCCCTCCGCTGACTCCCGCCGCCGTCTGTTCGCTGTTTCCAGTTAAAATCCGGAGATTACAGCGCCGATTTATCACCGTCAGTCCGCAACATCCACACCACCGACACCGGCTGCACCTGCTCCTGCAGGCCGGCCAAGAGACGCTTCAACCCGGCAGAGACCCGCAGCGGCACCCCGGCTCAGAAACAGCCCAGAAAACGCACGAATATGAAGGAAAGTCGGGATATTAACGGGAATCCCGGGGATCACTGACAGCGGCAGAGCGGAAAGAATTACCACCGACACTTCCTGTTGGAATTTTCAAAATAAAGTTTTACTGTCAGCGTTTTTTTTAGCCTATGTTTATCTCGACGAAAACGTGAATTATTTAATCTTTGTAATGACCGTTTCCAACAGAGGTCTCTGCAGAGGACAACACAGCTGTCTTTTTAAGTTCAATAAATTACAGTCTCCGGTCTGTGGACACACATTTGTCCCAAAAATATGTGTGTGTGTGTTTAATCTGTGATCATGAGACACTTCCACACATATTAAACAGTGTGTGTGAAATACAAATCTGCGAGCATGAAATCAAATGATCTGTTTCCTCTGTTTATAATTGATATAAATGTGTTCAGATTTGTATCATTTATGGTCTTTGTTTGCAGCTGCGTTTTATATTTGCAAAGTAGTTTTTTGAGTTTACATATCGCTGGTTTTGTATTTAATGTTGTGTTGTATTTGTGTTTAATATTTACAGATTACACATTAAATCGCTGACTGTTGATCTGTTCACACAAAATAACACTGAGACACATCTGTCTCCATTTCAGTCCGCTAGATAAAGACTGTGTGGCAGTAAAACATGTTAACAAGATTAATTTTGACAGTGATTCTTTATTTTATTTCGAAGCCTAATACATGACTTCCGGTTTCCTTCGCGCTGACTTTCGCGAGCTTCCCGCCGCTGTCAGAGCAGCAGGTCAGGTGCGGTTTTAGCGCACCAACGGAGGTCCGCGCGAGCGCAGCGGCTTCATGAATCAGACTCAGCGCGTCACTCTGTGCTCAGGAGCCCGCGGTGCATGATGGGAGGTGTAGTGTAGAGCTCCTCTCTGACAGGAACAGAGCCACGTCACATTCAGTCCTTATTAAACATGATCACTGCTGATATTTAAACATCATCTTTATCTTCAGACTTCTGGAACCTTTCAGCTCTGCAGGTCTTAAACATGTTTTGAATTCATTCATAGTTTCACAGGTTTTAATTGTTTTTAGTTCTGTTTGATATTTACGTGAACGTGTTTGAGACCAGAACAGACTCATTCTGTACGAAACCAACGTGACGACAAATTGTCGTCTGACAGCTTCAGTTACCTTCAGTGTTTCATCCCCATCTTGTCCTGAGGATCCTCCAGAATCCTGAGGATGCTCCAGGATCCTGAGGATGCTCCAGAATCCTGAGGATGCTCCAGGACCCTAAGGATGCTCCAGAATCCTGAGGACACTCCAGGACCCTAAGGATGCTCCAGAATCCTGAGGACACTCCAGGACCCTATGGATGCTCCAGAATCCTGTTGATGCTCCAGAATCCTGAGGATGCTCCAGGACCCTAAGGATGCTCCAGAATCCTGAGGATGCTCCAGGACCCTAAAGATGCTCCAGAATCCTGAGGATCCTCCAGAATCCTGAGGATGCTCCAGGACCCTAAGGATGCTCCAGAATCCTGTTGATGCTCCAGAATCCTGAGGACACTCCAGGACCCTATGGATGCTCCAGAATCCTTTGGATCCTCCAGAATCCTAAGGATGCTCCAGAATCCAGTTGATGCTCGAGAATCCTGAGGACACTCCAGGACCCTAAGGATGCTCCAGAATCCTGAGGACACTCCAGGACCCTACGGATGCTCCAGAATCCTGAGGACACTCCAGGACCCTATGGATGCTCCAGAATCCTGAGGACCCTCCAGAATCCTGAGGACACTCCAGGACCCTAAGGATGCTCGAGAATCCTGAGGATGCTTCAGGACCCTACGGATGCTCCAGAATCCTGAGGACACTCCAGGACCCTATGGATGCTCCAGAATCCTGAGGATCCTCCAGAATCCTGAGGACACTCCAGGACTCTAAGGATGCTCGAGAATCCTGAGGATGCTTCAGGACCCTACGGATGCTCCAGAATCCTGAGGACACTCCAGGACCCTGAGGATGCTCCAAAATCCTGAAGACACTCCAGGACCCTGAGGATGCTCCAGAATCCCGAGGGCACTACAGAATCCTAAGGAAGCTACAGAATTCTCAGAACCTTCCAGGTCCCTCATGATGCTCCAGAATCCCGAGAACACTCCAGGACCCTGGGGAAGCTACAGAATTCTTAGAACCCTCCAGAATCCTGAAGACACTCCAGGACCCTGAGGATGCTCCAGAATCCTGAGGACACTACAGAATCCTAAGGAAGCTACAGAATTCTCAGAACCCTCCAGAATCCTGCGGACAGTCCAGAATCCTGAGGACCCTCCAGAATCCCAAGAACCCTCCAGGACCCTGAGGACGCTCAAGAACCCTAAGGATGCTCCAGAATCCTGAAGACACTCCAGGACCCTAAGGAAGCTACAAAATTCTCAGAACCCTCCAAGACCCTGAGGATGCTCCAGAATCCTGAAGACACTCCAGGACCCTGAGGACCCTCCAGAACCCTGAGGCCACTCCAGAATCCCGAGAACCCTGCAGGACCCTGAGGACACTACAGAATCCTAAGGATGCTCCAAAATCCTGTGGACGCTCTAGGACCCTGAGGTCCCTCCAGAATCCTGAGGACCCTTCAGGACCCTGAGGACCCTCTAGGACCTGTACCGTTACATAATCCTGACGACCCTCGAGGACCTGTAAATCTGTAACAGAGAAGAACTCTGGTTTCAGTTCCCTCCCCCTCTGTAAGGTTCTGTGTAGATTACTGATTAGTTTGTGGGGGTCAGAGGAAGCAGAGACATCTGTAAAAGGACGACACAACAGGAAGTGTAAAGTTTAAAAGCTTTAATGACATCGCACATATCTGACAGAGAGCTTTAAAGTCTACAGGTGCAGTTTCATACATGAGAAAAGCCTTTATGGTCTGACGTCAGCTTAAATATTCAGCTTCTTCTTCTTCATTCCTATAGATGTAGTTCTGATTGTGCAGTAAGATGGCGTTAACTTCCATACATGTTCAGTACAATAGATATACAGCGACGGAGCGACACGAGTATCAAAGAGCAGAAAATCTGAACGCAGCGCAAAGAGCCGACGACAAGCAAGCAACCGTCATTAGTCCAGAACCAGAGTTCCCCTACAGTCCACCACCTACAGTCCACCACCTACAGTCTACCCCCCCCCACCTACAGCCCACCCCCTACAGTCTACAGTCCACCACCTACAGTCCACCACCTACAGTCTACAGTCCACCACCTACAGTCCACCACCTACAGTCTACAGTCCACCACCTACAGTCCATCACCTACAGTCTACAGTCCACCACCTACAGTCCACCACCTACAGTCTACAGTCCACCACCTACAGTCCACCACCTACAGTCTACAGTCCACCACCTACAGTCCACCACCTACAGTCTACAGTCCACCACCTACAGTCCACCACCTACAGTCTACAGTCCACCACCTACAGTCCACCACCTACAGTCTACAGTCCACCACCTACAGTCCACCACCTACAGTCTACAGTCCACCACCTACAGTCCACCACCTACAGTCTACAGTCCACCACCTACAGTCCACCACCTACAGTCTACAGTCCACCACCTACAGTCCACCACCTACAGTCTACAGTCCACCACCTACAGTCCACCACCTACAGTCTACAGTCCACCACCTACAGTCCACCACCTACAGTCTACAGTCCACCACCTACAGTCCACCACCTACAGTCTACAGTCCACCACCTACAGTCCACCACCTTCAGTCTACAGTCCATCACCTACAGTCTACAGTCCACCACCTACAGTCCACCACCTTCAGTCTACAGTCCATCACCTACAGTCTACAGTCCACCACCTACAGTCCACCACCTTCAGTCTACAGTCCATCACCTACAGTCTACAGTCCACCACCTTCAGTCCACCACCTACAGTCCACCACCTTCAGTCTACAGTCCATCACCTACAGTCTACAGTCCACCACCTACAGTCCACCACCTTCAGTCTACAGTCCATCACCTACAGTCTACAGTCCACCACCTACAGTCCACCACCTTCAGTCCACCACCTACAGTCCATCACCGAACACCGACGCTTGTTTATTTTACACACTGACCTCTTCCATTGGAAACAGACCACAACCAAAGAAAAAGAAAAGGACCCAAAATGGAGAGTTTGAATTTACGGTGTGTGTTTCAGGCGACGCTCTGAGCCTGATGAAGCATGCAAGTGGACATTTCTACATCATACACCTCCTCCAAGGTGATTGGCTGTTTTGAGGACAAAAAAAATGGCTGCTGAGTGGCAGAGGACGTAAAGTTAAAATAACAAAACAAAATGCACTATTGGTCCAATTTCTCAACGGCAGAGGAAGAACGTAGGTTGTCTCTGACGACACCCTCACAAAACTGAGGAATTAACTCAGACCTGTTTCAAAAAAGTACAAAAATAACAAAGACTTAACAAAAATTTAAAAAATCAAACAACGTTAAAAAACAAACATCAAAGAAAAATGAGTGTGTGGTCCCTGCTGACATCACCAAGACAGAGCGAGATGTGGCGACGCCTTCAGTTTAGACGTTGTGAACAAAAAGCGGTTCATCGTCGGTGCACCAACAAACCTCAGAGCTGAGCATGATTCTGTCAAAATGTTGTGAAGAATCAGCGGTTCATCATCTACAAACTGACGAACCAATGAAGTGACAAAGGACAGAGCAAGAGGCGGTGTCCCCTTCGGTTTAGAATTTGTGAAGAGACAGTGGTTCATCGTCGACAAACTAACAAACCACAGAGTGAGAGCCGAGGCTTATTCTATCAAGATGTCGTGAAAAAACAGTGGTTCATTGTCGACAAACTGACGAACCGACCAACTGACATAAAGAAAAGCAAGAGACGCCATCACCTTTAATCTGATGAGCCTTAAAGCGAGCACAGAGGCGGATTCTGCCAAGACAGTGTGAAGAAACAGCGATTCGTCGCCCTCAAACCGACAAACCAACAAATCGACAAACAACAGCACGAAAGCGACAGTTTCTGTCAAGATGTTGTGATTAATGAGCAATTTGTTGTTGACAATCAGAACAAAAATGGCTGCAGCTTTGCGGTTACATCATTAAGTCTAAACCCGAGCAGTAACATCACAACTTATGAACAGAAACCGCCAGCATTCTCATTCCTCAGTGGCTTGTCAGTTACATCACAATGTCTGAACTAAAGACAGCTCTCTCACTCTCAGGCACAGCGTCGCCTCGCCACCCGAACGGACAACCACGAGAAAAACAATCAAACCAGAAATATTAAAAAACAGAAGGAAGAAAACAAAAACTGCTTTGAAAATAAACAAACAACCCGCTGTCGCGCTTTGGTGAAACTTTTCAGTTTTCTGCTCCTCGCTTGAACCTCCTCAGCCGTCAGCCTCTGTCATTGGCTGTTCAGTAGTGACGTCATCACCAGCTTTGTATGTTTATGTGTAACGCCCTTTATGGCGCTCTGGGAAGTTTGCTGAAAACCTCCAGATGTAAAAATTGCACACGTTAACGGCTGCGGTGTTTCACACGTAATTCATCTGAGCAGAAATTGTCACAATCTGTGATGTTGTGTCTGACGTGCAAATGTTGCTTCAGTCTCTGCAAACATCGTCTCACAGATGTCGTCTCACAGACGTCTGCAGCTGTGAGAAACTGAAGGTTGTAACAGTGAGCGATGGTGAGCAGGAACAGGAAATGTCGGAGGGTTAACGGCTGCTAAAGTTAGCATCGTGAGTCGAACTTTACGAAGGTCTCATCAGAGCGAGAGGTTTGGTGACAACGCTGCCCTAATGAACAGCGCCAGAGACGTTTCTCTGGTGAGGACCTTCATGAAGCTGAATGCAGCTCAGACCAGGACGGACGCTCTGAAGCAGGTTCCAGTTCTTTCAGTTTCCTGATGAAGGTGATGAGAATCTAAATGTAACGCGTCCTGCGTCAGAGCGTGCGTCACGATATGACTGAAGCGGTTTCACCAAAGCGCCTCGTGTTTGATGTTCTATTGTTTCTTCTTGCTGAACAGACTGAAGCGTTTCTCCTTCTCCTTCTCTTTGTCCTTCTCCCTCTTCCCGGGACTCGACTCGGTGGTGAGCGTGACGGCGGCCGGCAGTGTCTGAGCGCGCCCAGACACTGGCGTGCCAGGGTTGCTGCCCTGGACGTCGGATCGGTCGACGCTGGCATTCAGGATGGCCTGGATCCAGGTGCTCATCTCCTCCTGCAGGGGGCGACACAGTACAGTTACCCAAGTACGGTAGTAAAGTACAACTCTGAGGTACCTGTACTTCAGGATTTCTGTTTTCTGCTGCTTTACACTCCTGCAGAGAGAAGTACTGGACTTTATACTGCACTACATTACTCTGATTACTTTAGATTATTGATACAAAATATAATCAATAATCAGTGCTGATGTGTCATTAGAGATGAATCCACTCAGCAGGATATAAAGTCGTTAACATGAGCTCCACCTTCAGCAGCTGATCATCACATTCATACATCAGTTACATCATGTAGAGTATTCTGCTGAAGGAGTACTGTTACTGCACGTACTTTAAGTACATGATGATGATACTCGTAACAGAGTACTTTTGCACTGTGTTATTAGTACTTTTACTGCAGTAAAAGATCAGAGTGCTTGTACTTTTTCCCCACTCTGCTGTGGACAACGATGGTTTGTACAATACGACCTGAACACAGCACAGAGCCTCACGTTAACATGGTTCTTCTTCTGTGGTGTTTGTCCTCAGAGGCCTTCCAGGAGCTGGACAGAGACGGGACAGGAAGAGCAGAGCTGAACATTGCTGAGGTACCAATATAATTATCATCATCATCATCATTATCGTCGTTGTTGTTACCCTGAAACACGTCCCCAGTTGGTGTTAAGCCCTGAGTAGTGTCTGCAGGCCTCCTCAGGTCACCACCTCACTATGTTTCACTGAGTTTTTGGAGTTTTGGAAGAAGTCTGTGTTCTACAGTTTCAAATGTTCACATGGTGGCGTTGAGCGTTCGGTTGAACTAAAGACTCTCCAACGAGTCAAGGTTCAGTTTTTATGCTAAGTACATTTTGTTTTGATGGTTTGAAGCCTGGTTTTTGTCAGTGAATATTAGCAATAGCATTATTACAGCAAACCATAGCTTTAAATACACCGTGCTAACCAAGCTAGCAGTTAGCATTAGCTCCACCCTCTTGTCCAAATATTGTCACTTCTGGCTCCAGAAATCCAAGATGGCAACATCCAACAAGCCAAACTAGAGTCCACAAACTAATCTGTGACGTCATGGTGACTGTGTCTGTTAATGTAATACAGTCTGTGGGTGAGATGAGAGGGCGGAGCTAACGCTAGCTGATAGCTTGGTTAGCATGGTGCTTTTACAGCTATGGCTAACTGTGTTAATGCTAATCTTTGCTAGCAAAAACAGGCTTAAAACCATTAAAAATTGTACTTACAAAAAAATATTAAAAAAACTAAAATAAAATGTTCACAGCTGAGTTCTGTTGAACTTCAGTTGTGATGAACGTTGAAATGATCTCCAGACCAAACAGGCTGGAAACATGTTGATTTCTACTTGTTAACATGGAGCTCTGTGGGGACGCACTCACTCTGGGAGACAGCCTCTAGTGGACGTTAGAGGAACTGCGTTTCAGTCTCAGAGTTTGACGCTTGTAGCCTATCGATCACAAAGTGAAACCAGGCGGACATCATGTGGAGAACGGTTCCTCACCCTCCAGCCGACTCACATTTATCACATGAATCCTGGTTCGTATGACTGGATGAAAATAACTGTTACATCCAGTAGCAGCTCGTGGTGAAATTGGGTGGGAGGGCTAACGCATTAGGCCTATGGCCTATACTGATCACGCACACACACACACACATAGACACACTGACTATTATGTAATGCTCCTCTAATGAGAGGTTAGGGCTTGGGCCTACCTTATTTGAAGAGAAGCTCACATCGACGGCCTGTCCGGGATGCAAACAGGTTAATCACCAAGTCATTTAAGTCCGATGATTTTTGGATGAGGTCCCGCTCGATAAACAGCATTTAAATTAATCCACCTCGTTCAGCATGATGCTAACGCAATTCGCAAGACTCAATGCTCACTCTCCCACCACAGTAACAGCGGGCAGGCCCTCACTGTACTTGCACACACTGTCACTGGCCAACAGTCAGTGGCCTGGGCTGAATTAATTTAGCCCAACTGGACAGTAAATCAAGGGGGCTTGTCACGACACCTGTCACTCACGATGTGACAACAATTATTGGAAGCTGATTCGAGGAGTATGGGCTGTAAAAATCTGCCCATTTAGATAAATCCTGTGTTTTTGTGACTATTTTAGTGCTGTTGCTGCCGTCGGTTCCACCAAATACAATCAGTTCTAAGGTTCAATAACTAATATTTTATTATTTTCTTTAATTTAATAATTTTCTCATCTTTATTGTAAAAGATAGGCAGGGCTTAACCCTGCTAGCCCATTTATAGCAGCCGTCTCTGGTTACATCCATGAATGGGAGGCATATTGTTTGTTTTTGTGAACGGCTGAATGGTGCGCCGCTTTAAATGTTGCTGCTACAGAGAATTCTGGGACATTACTGCGTCTCCTTAGGTTAAGGATGCTCTGATGCATCCTATGCTGAAGGACATAAGAGAGGAAACATTGAAGCTCCATTCCTTCATCAGCTCTGAGCGTCATGGCCGCCTCTGACATACTTCAGATCAACTGTCTGTCCTCACCCTCTGTGTTTGTGGAGGAAACAGGAAGGAAGGTTTTTCAGAATAAAAGTGATGAAATAAGAAGTGTGATTGTAATGAAGTGACTGTTGTTGTGTTTCCTCAGTGGCTCTGCATGACCATGTGTGGCTGAAGACTCCTCAGTCAAAGTGCCTCCAACAGGAAGACAACAACCGACCTGACTGTTACACTGCAGCCCAACCACACTCTTACTGTACAGCACTGCAGTCCTACATCACTACTACAGTCCTACATCACTACTACAGTCCTACATCACTGCAGTTCTACATCACTACTACAGTCCTACATCACT